TGTGCGATTTGGAGGTACACTCACGACACGACACGACACGACACGACACGACACGACACGACACGACACGACACACGACACGACCAACGACACGACCAAGTGTACACGTGCTGACCATGGTCGTCATGATGCCGGCTGTGGGGACAACAAGGGCGCCAACTTCTCCAACGCGATCCTCAACAAGGCGCAGTTCCACGCAGCGAACCTCAAGAACGTGCGGTTCATCCACAGCATCTTCTCGTCGCACACGAACCCCTTCTCCCGCACCACCAACCTCAACGGCGTCCTCTTCCACCGGGTACCCGCCGCTCTCCTGAACCCTAGTCATCGCACCGAAAACACTCACCACCGCACACACCGCACACACCGCACACACCGCACACACCGCACACGCATGACAGACGGACAACGCGTTGGCGCTGTACGGCCAGTCGTTCAAGGAGTGGGGCTATCGCACGGAGAACGTGTCGCTGGCGCTGTACGGGATGTCGTTCAAGGAGCTGGGCTTCCAGATGGAGAACGTCAACACCATGTTCTACTCGCGCCACATCGTGCGGCTCGTCAAGGAGAAGGAGGACCCCGTGCTCCTGGAAGAGGAGGAGAAGCCTGCTGGTGGCCAACCTCTTTAGAAGAGCATAGCGCACCAAACCAAGAACAAAGACAAAGAATAATTGCGTATTTTAACAGCGTCACCATGTAAGTTTGGCTGGCACTCTTTCCGCCACCAAGAATAAGATTTTCTTGCCTTTGGAGCATGCGATGGGCACGAAGAAGATGGCGCCATGGCGCAGTCGGCACCGCGCTCCCCTAGTAAGGGAGAGATCATGGGTTCGATTCCCATTGGCGCCAACCTTTTCTTTTGTCTCTTATGATCATCAATGTTATATCCCTCTCTCAAGCCTTTTTGACCATCATAGTGTCAGTCAGTCAACAGCCAGAACTGTGAGTTTGTGCCTAAGTGATCATTTCCCAAAGGAACAAAAAAAACTCGACTAGAGCTGAAGGAAACACAGCTTCGTGGTTGGGTAGAATACAGTTTTCTTCTTCAGGTTACACGTGCGCACGCCCAACCTGAGGCTCTGTGCAATCAATCTCGGTCAGCGTGGCTGTTGGTGGCGCATGTGGCGCTACGTTGGGCACGCGCTGTCGGATGTATTGGCAAAAGTGGCGCATCCAGTAGAACGACTTGGCGTGCGCCATCAGCATGTCGTACAACTGGGCGAGCAGCTCCGTGCTCTTGTGAGCCACCAGGATGTCCACCTACAACCAAGTAAATGCACAGATAAGAAATAGCCAATCTAAAATTTCTAAATGAATTATATGTTAATAGAAAAATAAAAAGCACGCACGGGGACCCGCATGAAGAGGTAGTCGTTGATCGTGAGCTCGTGAGTGGTCATCACCATGATCGGCAGCGGGACCTCGAGAAGCAGCAGAACGAAGTTACTGTTGGCCACACACACGCACACACGACACACACACACGACACACACGACACACACACGACACACACACAAAACATCAGATCTGTGAGAAACATAGTAGGCAGGACCATCACCAGTGTGAGCGCGTACGTGGCCGCATAAAGCTGCTGCTCGCTCCGCAGCGCCCATAGGATGAATGTACGCGTGGCGCACACCTCGCACCGCATCATCGTGTACATCTGCATAGCAAATAATACATATTTTATATTAAATCGTATTCTCTATAGGCAGAGCCAATCAAGGGAGATGTAGCGGCGTACGCGGGTGCAGGCCTGGTCTGCCTTGATTGCCGCGACGAGGGTCTCCTCGAGCTTGATAACGACGCCGAGCTGATCCTTGAGTACATCTGTGCGTTCTTTCCACTCCGGATGGTTACGTCCGTCTATCGAACCACGCGACACGACACACACGACACACACACACACACGACACGCACATGATGGTTAGAGACACGAGGCGAGGCGCGGTGTGATGTGTGGAGCGTTGCGCACATTGTTGGTAGAACTCGCAGACGGGGTAGACGACGGCGTGCACCTGGCAGATCATCTGGCGGATGTCGAGGTCGGTCGTGTTGTCGGGCCGCGAGTGGGTGAGGCCCTGCACGGGCTTCCAGCTGCGGGTGTAGGGCGCCCGCTTCTGCGACGCCGCGATGCGGCTCGAGGGGTCCCTGTTCGCGAGACTGGCGCCCATGCTGCACGCAGCGTGACGTGGACTTGAGTGCCCGTCCAAAAAGAATGAGGGGCATAAAGAACGAAGATATCGATGATGGCGAGGCGCATACTAGGTGAGGTTTCGATAGGTGTCGTCATTCTGTGCGCCGCAGTTCTCGCAGATCTGTTGGCCGAGCGTGACGTAGTAGACCTGCTTCTCCATCCCTGCACACGGCCGACACGGCGACCCGACACAGCCCCGATATGAGGCGAGAGGGGAGAGAGCAGAAGGAGGGGAGGAGTACGGACCCTCGTCATGGTTTTCGGCGTAGAGGCGGCTCCACCAGGACAAGGGGAGCAGCACGCACGCGATGTCGTAGTCGGCCGTGTCGAACAGCACGCCCAGGTGGTGGCGCGCCTGCACACGCACACGACGGCAAACCCGCAACATGTATGAGTGTGTGCACAGGTAGCTTAAATGATAGAGCAGTGCTTTATAGTTCCGTACCATGCGAAAATAGTGTTTGGCAAGCGGCCAGTGGCCCATCAGAAAGCTCGCTGTTGGTTGGATCAAATTGTTGGTTGGTTGTGGTTGGTTGGCAACAAGTACAGTGTCGGGGGAGCTGCGTACCACTGCTCATGAGCAGGCAGCTGGTGAGGGCGAGCGTGGAGCTCTGCGCCGAGAGCACGCCTCGCCAGAGCAGCTCGACTTCCGTCGTTGCCGGGTTGATGGGGTTGATGCCCCACAGCTCCTTGATGTACACCTGGCTGTATGGCGAAAGTAAGATAGATGGAATGCGAGCGTCAGCTTGGAATGCGAGGAACTCATGGAATGCGTGATAAAGAGGGAGGCCTAAATCGAGGGACCTGATGAAGACGAGCACGCCCTTCGCCTCAAGTTGGGCGCCGGTCCTACCGATCGTCATCGTCTGCTCGTCGTCATCGTCGTCTTCGACGTAGTGGAATTCGCTTGGCTGGTCGCTGCCGCCGCGGTCGTCGTCGCCGTCGTCGCCGTCGAAGTTGCTGTCGTCGCCAGTGGCCGAGCTGGTGGTAGGCAGGCCCTCGGGAAGCGGCTCATCGGTAGTGCAGCCGACGCTGGTCGCATCCTCGCGCGACCGCTTGCGCGCGGCCCTGTACCGTACCTCTTCATGGTAGATCTCCTTAGCTGCGCGCGCCCCACAATCGTACTTACATCAGCTCCACACACACACGCGCGCGCACACACACACGACACGACACGACACGACACGCGCGCCACCGTACCGTTCTCTTTGACCCAGGTGATGGCTGTGGGAATGGGGACGGGGCGAGGCGGAATGAAGGCCGGCGCGCTGGAGCTGGGGCAGAAGGCCATGTCGGCCCAGCATCGCCTCGGCGCTGTGCCGTCGCGAATAACCCGCTTCGTTTCCGCGTCGGGGAACGCTTTCTGTTCGTGTGTCATCAGCCCCGCGGGTCAACGTGCTGGGCACGGCCCAAAAAGTAACAGAAGATGAAGAAGATGAAGATGAAGATGAAGAATGATGAATGGACTGTACCTTGAAGAGCTTGGCGAAGACGGCGAGGGTGGTGTGCTCGTAGTGCATGCGCTCGCAGTGGGCCACGTAGGGGTCGTAGGCCTCCTCGCGCGATAGGAACGCGCCGGGCGAATGCTTGAAGTTGGCCCGCAGCCTAAAACAGTGCATTGATTTTCAGGCAGGAGAAGATTAGGAAATGGGCAACGCGACGTATTGAAGAGAATCTTTGACGATTGAGGGAGAAGAACGAAGGCCAAAGAACGAAAGCGACGCTGTTCACGACGCGAAAAGAGTGAACCTAAAATAAGGTTGATGTGTTGGTGTGAGCGTACCAAGCTATGATAAAGTTGCTGGCATCGAATCTAGACACAGTGCGCCTGGGATGATCTTCACCCTCAGGACGTTCCATCTAGATGCTTCTCCCGCTGTTCCGATGATTGACGCTGTTTGTGCTTGCGAGCACTCTCCGCTGTGCTTGGTGTGCTTTTCCTCCAGTATTAATGCCGTGTTCATTCATTTAGTTCCTGCCTTGGTTACGAGGGTAGTTTCATTTTCCTTTTCACTTTTCGTTTTGGGTGTTGTAATTTCTTTTGGATATTTGGTCGGTTATTGCCGACAAGCCAAAAAGACAAAAGGCACAAGTTCGATTGAATCGAACACACGAGTTCGTTACTTGAACGGCATCCAATTGAACCCATCACCAAGCAAAAGAAACAATTGGACGGAAGGAAGGAGGAGCAGGATTGAAATCAAACGATCTAGACGAAGAACAAATGGAGAGGGGGAGGGGGGCATTTGGGGCCTCGGACCTACCCATTCCCTTCATCCAAGCCTCGCCAGATGAGTTGAGCCCTCGTTCGCTACGCAGCAGCCTAAGGAGCAATCAATGGCTGGGTGCTCTGGGAAGCCAGACCCCTCCACCGCCCTCTTCCAACAAATCGGCCATGGCCAAACAATCGCGATTCATCAAGCGACACAAACGCAGCCTGAGCGATCCCGATCTGAAGGACATCAAGAAGAATGTGGACTCGCAGCTCTCGGCATTCAGCACCCTCGTCGCCAATCTCGAGGTGAAGAAGGAGATCATGGAGCGATCTCGACAGAAGGAGGCTGCAGCGAATGGAAATGGAGCGACTACTGGCGGCTTCATAAGCTCTAGCGGCAACATGCGAACGACGGCGAGCAATGGACAGGGAGGGGGCTCCATTCTACTCAAATTGAAGGCCATCGCAGAGGCATTCGTGAACACACCACCCGACGCTCTACACTCGCGAGAGATTGTGAGGCAAATTCAGAAGCTCCACCTCAACGCGGCCAAGACAGCCACGTCTCTCGAAAGAGAGCTCATGATCAAGCTCCTCTTCATCATTTCCACATGCTCTCGTCTCGAGGAATACAAGGTGCGCCCGCCGAAGTCCCCTTCCCCCTTCCCTTCCTCCCAATCTCATCATTCCTCTTCTTCTTCTACACATCCTTTTTGTTCTCCTCCTTCCCCCTTTTGCTGCTACTTATCTCTCTACTCGTAATTTATTTATTTATTTATTATTTTTTACACTCGCTACGCGCGCCGCTGGGCCGAATGCTGACCATCGTCACCATCGTCATCTTATTATCTCGCCATCGTGTAGGAATGTCTGGAGGAGGACGACGTGACCGAGGCCAACGACGACAGCCTCAACATGAGCTCCGAGTCCGAGTCCGAGTTCCTGTCCGGCACGTCGTCGCCGGCCGTCAGTTCGCCCATCCCCATGCCCCAACGCGAAGCCCGCGCCGCGCCTCGCTCGCGAGGCAAGCCTACCAGCCGACGGTACGTTGGTTGGTCGTGTGTGTCGTGTGTGTCGATGCTGATGTCACGCCACGACTTCGCCAGGCTGTCGCGAAGTCTGGACGGAGCATCTTTTGCAGCGATGCTGGAGGAGTATGCCCTCGCCGAGCAGGAGTTCAGCGAGCTGAGCAGCCCCGACATCCAGCGACCCGCGCGACGACGACCGGCGGCTGCGGCAGCAGTTGCCGCGGGTCAGTCACCCGACCTCTCCACGTCTCCCACCCCGGTAACGAAAACAACTTCTTCGCATTCCGCCATGCATTAGTTGCATTCCTCACATTCAAGTTTGTGTGCGCAGGACCATGACGACAACGAAGACGAGATACCCGAGTCGGTGCGACGGCGAAAAACGCCGCTGACGCTCAACGACAAGTTCGACGAGGTGGTATCGCCGGGCGAGGCCCACGAGCGAGAGATCAAGCGGAGGTACGAGGAGCGGGATATCGAACGGGAGAAGGAGAAGTACACACAGAAGAAGAAGACCGGCGGACGGAGCAAACGACCAACCGAGCGAAGCCCGCTCGCCATCGCACACAGCGCCGCCGTCGCCAAGGACACACACGCCGACTCTGACGACGACGACGACTCGGCCGGGGCGCTCGGCGCCGAGAAGAGGTCTATTTCGGCGCCGACGAAGGGCACGAAGTCGAACGGCGGCGGAATGTTGAAGATCGCGCGGGGCGCGGCGCCCATCATGTCGCCCGAGCCGCGGCGGCCGGCGGCCCCGTCCAAGGGTCTGTCGTGGTTCAAGATGGCCATCCAGAAGGAGAAGGAGAAGGTCAAGGAGAAGAACAAGGCCCTCAGGCAGCCGGCCTCGCCCGAGGTGGCCACCACCAGCGGCGGCAGCGGCGGCGGCAAGCGGATCAAGAAGGAATCGGTGCCGAGGTGGCCCTCGCCGCCGCCGAGCAAGAAGCGAACGAGCCCGACCACCGGCAACTCGCCGCCGCCGGTCCGGGCCGCGCGTCCGCCCAGCAACCTCCACCGGCAGCTCGAGGCCCACGAGCAGGAGCGCAAGAAGAGCGGCGCCGTAGACGCCGACGCCGACGCCGACGCCGCTGCGACAACGCCTGGCGCTGTGCCGGCGGAGGAAGAGAAGGAAAAGGAAATGGAAAAAGCAACGGAAAAGGAAACGGCCGACAGCGCGCTTGCCGGCGAGCACACAAACGTCGACAATGCCGGCCGCGACAAGAGCCTCACGCCCCCGTCGGTGCCGCCGCTCGCTCTGGGCGCGCTCCGACGATCCGGCGGCGGCGGCGGCTCGGCCAGGCCGGACGACGCCAACGACACCGCCACCGAGGGCGGCCTCCACCAGACCGGCACGGTGGCCATCAACGAGAAGCGGGCCGAGGCCATGCGGCAGCTCATGCGCGACCTTGAGGCGGCCGCCTCCAAGCGCGCCCACGAGGCCGAGGAGGCGGCTGCCGCGCAGCAGCATGAGCAGGAGCAGGCCGAGGGCAAGCAGCGGGAGGACGCGGTGCGGGAGCGGGACGAGGAGCAACGACTGCGGCAGCAGCAGGCGGCTGAGAGCGACAAGCTGCGGCAGCAGCACCAGAACATGCCCTACGAAAACGACGACGACGTGGGCAAGATCACCGACAGCGACCGCGCGCGCATCCGATCCCGGCCTCAGAGCACCGAGCTCAACCTCATCGTGTGCCGCATCTGCGAGCAGGTAACATCCACGACCAGTGTGGACCACATTACTAGTGCTAACCATGCGTCGTGTCGTGTCGTGCGTGTCGTGTCGTGTGTGCGCCTTCCCAGCCGGTGCCGCTCAACCAAATGGAGGCGCACGGCAACATGTGTTCCAAGTACACCAAGCCTCTGCTATTGGTCGAAACCGCGAACAAGCGATTGAAGCAGGTAACGCCCCCTCTCACCTGCCCACCCACCCACCCAACCACCGCCACCATATTAACAACGGACCAAAATGCAGCTCCTAAAGCGACTCGAACGGATTCGCGGCAGAACAGAAGAGCACTCCAACGAAACCCTCGCCATGATCTCCGGCGCCATCCAGCTCACCAAAGGGTAACACACACACGACACTTGACACGACACACACTACACACACGAGACACGAGACATGACCATGCTGGACCAAGTTTGACGTCAATTTGCTGTTCTTCATTGGGGGGGGGATCTTCAGGGTGGTCGGGATCCTGCCGGCGGCGGAGAACGCGACGGCGGACTGCAACGCGAAGCTGGAGCAGCTGCGGCCCATCGTGGACGCATTGGACGCGCCGGCGTCGGCGGCCCTCGTACTCTCGGCCAGCAGCGGGATCGACCTCCTCAACAGCCCCCGCGAAATGCCCGGCGCCCCGCCCCCCAACTCGCTCAACTCGCCCCGCTACAACCCCTACATCATCATGAAGGCCGTCGAACGCGAGGTATGACACACGACACACACGACACACACGACACACACGACACACGACACACATGCTGACGACGGAGAGGGGCACGACAGATGGAGAACAAGCTGGCGTCGCTCAAAAACATCGACGAACTGCGCATTGAGTCGCCGCGCTCGCTCTTCAACAGCACCAAGTCGGAGCTGCCCAACGTACAGGACTTCCAGTTCATCAAGCCCATCGCCAAGGGCGGCTACAGGTACTCACTCGCAACATTCATATATTAAATTAATTAAATCTATATATTAATTAAAACACAATTTGTATTTGTATTTAAAATTAACCTCTACACTGCGACAGTCGGGTCTATCTGGCGCGGAAGATCAAGACGGGCGACCTGTTCGCGGTGAAGGTGCTCAAGAAGTCGTTCATCGCCGGCAAGAACGCCGTGCCCCACATCCTCGCCGAGAAGAAGATCCTCGAGGCCAGCGTCTCGTCGCCCTTCATCGTCAAGATGTACTACGCCTTCCAGACGCCGGTACATGCCCACCCGCCCTCCCCTCTCTCCCTTATCGTGCGTGTGTCCGTGTCATTGGTCGTGTGCGGTAATGTGTGTGCGTGTGTGCGTGTGGTACTGATGGTGTGCGTGTGCGACGCAGCGTCACCTGTTTCTGGTGATGGAGTTCCTGCCGGGCGGGGATTGCTATTCGCTGCTGAAGAACATCGGCCGCTTCGACGAGTCCATGGCCCGCATGTACATCGCCGAGACCGTGCTCGCCCTCGAGTACCTCCACGACCACGGCATCGTACACCGCGACCTCAAGGTACCCCCCTCTGCCCGCGTCGCGCCATCGTGCCATCCATCGCCCATCGAAAACTAACGCACCACCGCACACACGACCGCACACACGACCGCACACACGACCGCACACACGACCGCACACACGACACAGCCGGACAATATGCTGATCAGCCAGGCGGGGCACATCAAGCTGACGGACTTTGGGCTGAGTCGGATCGGTCTGAACCGGAAGGTGAAGGAGAGCTCGTTCGCGGCGATGGAGGAGGACTACGCCCAGCAGCTCGACCTCGCCGGCCAGAAGGAGGAGGAGGGCTCCATGCCCGGCACCCCCGACTACCTCGCGCCCGAAATTTTGTTGGGCCTCTCCCACGGTACCCTCCCGACACCGCGTGTGCGGTGGTGTGCGTGTGCGCGTGTGCGTGTGTCTAACGCATGCGTGTGCGTGTGCGTGTGCGTGTGCAGGCAAGAGCGTGGATTGGTGGGCGCTCGGGTGTGTGCTATACGAGTTCCTGGTGGGCATCCCGCCCTTCTGCGGGTCGTGCGTGGAGGAAATTTTCCAACGGATTTTGTCGCGAGGTACCCACTCAACGACAACAACAACAACAACAACAACATCCGCAGCCACCTCTCGTTAGTTGTAGTTGCTGTTGCTGTTGCTCTTGTCATTGACGATGGTGAAGATGGTAACCTAACCGGCCGTGGTCATCAGACATCGAGTGGCCGGACGAGTCGGAGGTGTCGCGGGACGCTATCGATCTGATCGATAAACTGCTGCAGATCAAGGCCAGCGAGCGGTTGGGCTACCAGGGCGCCAGCGAAGTCAAGGTTTACCTCCGTTACTATCTTTTATTATTATTATTATTATTATTATTATTATTATTTCATGACTGACTGTTGTGGTGTCAATCGTGTGTGTGGGAGCAGGAGCATCCGTTTTTTGGGAACATCGATTGGAGCCGGGTGCTCAAGATGAAGCTGAAGGCGGTCTTCCTTCCACGGCCGTCGCACGACGAGGATCTCTCGTACTTTGACGCCCGCAACGAAGACTTCCCCATCGGCAGTACGCCACACCGCACGACACGACCAACGACACGACCAACGACACGACCAACGACACGACCGCGAATGACACCGCTAATAATGATCGATTGTGTGCGCGCGTTAGCAGACAGCGACATGCGTGAGTTGATGGGTCGCTCGTGGGAGGACATAGACGAGGTGCCCATCGTCGGAGACTCGGACAGAGATGCGCGCTCACTCGGTTATTTCCCATCTTTCCTCGCCTCTTCTCTCTTCTTGCCTCTGCTTGCGCTGACTCGTGGTGCGTTGTGTGTAATCGTGTAGTGCGGAGTCCGTCGCCAGTGGACGTCGACGACGCCTTTGGCGGATTTGATTCGGTGGTGCTGGGCAACCTGCTCCACAAGAACGAGGTACGAGCTCTTCTTCATCATCATCGCCATCATCATCATCGGTCCACTGGCTCCACTGTTCACGTCTCACCCGCCCGCGTGTTGGTGGCTCTAGGTGGCGCTCAAGAAGGTGGCGCGGATGGGCTCCTCCGACAAGCTCAACGAGGAGGACGTCGACGACGTGGACTCCAACTCCTCCTCCGACGAGAAGGCCTGACCTACCTACGCTTCTCTCTTCTCTTTTTTTCCACATTCCCCTCTTCTCTCGCACACGCTCTCTCTGCGCTATCCACGCAACCTCACCTACTTCCAGTCCTGATGAGAGCCCTATCTCTACTTATCTCTTTTCTTTCCACTTCAGCCTACTTCCTCTCTTCTGTTATTCTCTATCTCGCTCTCTTCTATCCATGTATCATCATCATCATCATCTATATTATCACAACCGAAACGGGCGTGGTCACATCAGCCACGCCACACAAGGCCAAGGAGGCGAGGATGATGTAAATAAAGTATTATTTATTGCTTCCTCCACAACGCTCTCTTTCTCTACATTCGCCCAACAAGACGGATGGGCTGCCGGTGAAGGTGAGTAAATAAATCTTTACCGTTCTGTGCAAGACGTCCAGCAAGGAGGGCCTAGAAGAGCTTGAGGTGGCCCGTCACCTCGTCCAGCTTGCTCTTAGGGCCTGCATGCGATTATACAAAATAAATAAAGCATCAGATCGAGTAGCGGGATGGATGGTACCGGGGCCGATGGCGAGGACGGTGAGGCTGCCAGCAGCGATCTGGGTGCGGCCTGCATCGGCAACGATGTAGGTGGGCAGCTTGCGCGCGCGAGCCTTTGCCTCGAGATCCATCATCGTGGCCTCGTCGGGGATGGCGAGGGCGATCTTGGCCTGGCCCTGGCGGCTCCACTGGCGCAGGGCCTCCCTGCACACCTCCTGGTCCTCCTTGCCGCTACGCCCTCGTCGCCGTGCCTCGCGGTACGCCCCCAGCACGGCGTGTCCGCATTGGGCGGCCACCTTGCCCCGCTGCATCTTGAGATCCGTTCGCACGCACAGCACCATCTTGTGCTCCTCTCCATCATCGTCCTCATCGTCCTCATCTTCATCGTCATCCTCTTCGTCATCTTCGCTGTCATCTTCACTTTCGCTGTCCTCATCTTCGCTCTCATCTTCTGCCGCCTTTTTGCTTTTGGCATCTTTGGGGGTGGCTGATGATGGAACGCTGGAGGCGGGAGGAGCCGAAGGGCGCCCGAAGAAGCGGGCGAGCAGAGCCCCAGTCACAAAGGCCACAACGAGGAGGGCCACCAGGACAGGTGGGGTGAGGCCCCACGCATCGAGGGACAGAGCCTCTGGCACCACGGCCACCGCAGCTGCCGCCTTGTTCTCCATCTGTGTTCAGGTGTGGACCTTTAAAAAAGCCAAAAAATTAGTAGTTTTCCAGGCGACAAAGAAAGGGGCACCGATGGGAATCGAACCCATGACCTCGAGGAGGAACAACACAAAGATGGAACCCGGCTGTGTGGGAGTATGCTCTGTTGCAACCACCAGTCTTGTTCCCACATCCCTTCTTCCTTCTTAATCCTGCCACCCTGTTTGACATTCTGGGCTATGATATCAAATGTGCCCTGTTCCCCTGGCCTGGTAAAGCCACCTTTACACCAACAATTGTGAAGAGGGTCCACACCAGGCACTCTCACATTTATTGAACCATGCTCTCATTGTGGTGTGTGTGTGTGTGTGTGTGTTGCTGCATGCAGGTCTCAGCAAGCAGAGCTACTACCTCACTCTTGGCCAGCAGATCCACAAGAGCATAGAGCAGTAAACAATGAGACCTACTGGAGTTTCACATCTGTGCTTGTGTGTGCTGACCACTTCACACAAGCAAACAGCACCACTGCAACACAAAGTCATGGATATCCTCCCCAAACCCCTCACTTATCGTGCTGTTTGCCCGCCATTTGCTCAAGCAAGGTGAGGACAAAAATATTAGAATGGCGCCAATGGGAATCGAACCCATGATCTCTCCCTTACTAGGGGAGCGCGGTGCCGACTGCGCCATGGCGCCATCTCTGAGCCCGTGGTGACCAAGAAGTCGAAGTCACAAAAATGTAAGAGTGAAGGTAAAGCCTCTTGGCGAGTTTGAGGAAGCAGTCTTGCGCTATGTTTAGTTTCTCTTGTAGTGCACTTTCTAATACATGCTCACACCCAATCTGGGGCTGGTGGCTCTGTGTCAACTTCTGTCAGTGTGGCTGTTACATGTGGTGCAATGTTGGGCACATGCTGCTGGATATACTGGCACATGTGGTGCATCCAGTAGAATGACTTGGCATGCGTCAGCTGCGTGGTATACCACTGTGCAAGCAGCTGCCTCTCATTTGCCTTGACAAGGATGTCAACCTGCTCACATACCACATAGGTCAAGAATTGGTCACTGTTGTGTGCCAAGAGATGATCATTGGCAGAACACGTACAGAAAGGCGCATGAGGAGGTAGTCGTTGGTTGTGAGTTCATGGGTGGTCATCACCATGATTGGCAAAGGTACCTCCAGCAGCAGCTGCACGAATTTTCTGCTTGTTGGAGGTGGTCAGGCATGGAATGAGACCGGCAGTTGGCCAGAATTAGAAGAGTTGAGTTCACGTCTGTGGGCACGTACTTGGCTGCATAGACGTGCTGCCCGCTCTGCAGAGCCCAGTAGATGAACATGCGCAAGGCGCACACCTCGCAGAGCATCATAGTGTACATCTGCGCGCGCAGTATTTCCACAACAACGTGATTATGTCATTTCCGAAGACATGGTCATGAGATGACATGAGGAGCTATGGGACAGAGACGTACAAGGGTGCATGATCGATCTCCTCGGATTTCGGCAACGAGCTTCTCCTCGAGCTCATTGACTGTGCCCAGATTCTCCTTGAGGATCTCCTTGCGTTCCACCCACCCGGGATGATTCCACCCATCTGCGCAAAGATTGACCATATGAAACAATATTATGTACATGAAACAATATGAAGAAATGATTAAAATGTTAGAAGTAATGAATAAAACTGCAGGTAAGAGGAAGAAGGGCGTGTAAGGTACTTTCTTGGTAGAAGGCGCAGATGGGATGGACATCGCAATACATCTGCCCGACCAGCTGGCGGATCTCGATGCTAGTCGCAGTGTCGGGCCGGGCGTGGGTGAGGCCCCGCACAGGCTTCCACTTCCGGCGATAGGGCTCTCGCAGCTTCGATGCCGCGATGATCTCCGACGGGTCTTCTTCGCGAGGTTGGAGCTGATGCTGATAATGGCGCAGCAGCAGTGATGTGAGCGCCCACTCACCGCCAACGCTGACTGTAGCGGAGAGGATTGAGAGAGACGTCGTACTAGGTGAAGCTCCGATAAGTTTCGTCGTTTTGTGCGTCCACGCTCTCGCAGATCTGCTTACCGACCGTGAGGTAGTAGCTCTGCTTGCTCAGACCTGCAGGCGCACACACGCACATGACGATGGTGGTGATGACAATGATGCTGGTGACGAGAAAGAGTTGGACAACAAGTGCGGTCTCTGGTGAACGTGCACGCACCCTCTTCATAATTGTTGGCGTAGAGGCGGCTCCACCAGGCCAGCGGGAACAGCGCACAGGCGACGTCGTAGTCAGGAATGTCAAACAGCTCGCCCAGGTGCCGGCGCGCCTGTGCCAAATCGCTGTTAGAGGCGCCTTGTGTGTCTGTGTGTGGAAAGAGAGAGAGAGAGAGAGAGTCCTGGTGGTGTTCATGGTGGTGAACGACCACGGCGTACCAGGTAGAAGTAGTGCTTGGCAAGTTGCCAGTGGCCTGCCAGGAAGCTCGCTGTTGTGTGGTTGGTTTGATCAAAATGTGGTGGTCAGTCACCAATCTAGTCCAAGAAAGAGAGAGAAAGAGAAGAGGACGCAACTGCTGCTCATGAGTAGGCAGCTGGCGAGGGTGAGCGAGGAGCTCTCCTCCTCCGATCCCACGCCCGTCCGCAGCGTTTCGATGTCCGTCGTCGCCGGGTTGATCGGGTTGATGCCCCACAGCTCCTTGACGTACAGTTGACTGCACAGTCCAATGGAATGTGAGAATGTGTGAGGGTCTGGAATGCTTCGGAATGCGTCAGAGATACATACACGAGATATTCGAGCACGGCTGTCGGCTCGAGGTGAGCCCCGGTCCTTCCGACCGCCACCACTTCCTCCTGGTAGTGCTCGACGTCCTGTCTCACCTCCGCTTCCTCTTCGTCGTAGCAATGCGCCGCGTCGTCACCGTCATCACTCGTCGGGGTGACGGCAGTCGTGCACGAGCCGGTCGTCGCGAGCGGTGGGTGTTGGTTGGTGCTACTCACGCTGGTCACACCGCCGCCTAGGTCACGCGCTCGCTTCCGTCCTGCGCCGGCGTCTGGTCGCATCGCTTCAGCGTTAACAACCGCACACGCACACGCACCACACACGGAGGTGAAGTACCGCGGTTCTCTTCGACCCAGGTGATGGTGGGTGCCGGTGCCGAGGCCGGGCGGGGCCACCGAGGCGGGGCCAAGTCCGACCCGGGCCGCGGGCGGAAAGCCACGCCCACGTAGCACCGCTTCTGCCCGTCTCGGCCGCGCACCAGCCGCCTCGTGAGCACGCCGGGGAAAGCTTCCTACAAAACGTGTAGAAGCAACCCCCCCATGGGTGGTGAGAAAGTACCCCGGGCTGGTGGGGGGGGGGCGTGTAGGAGGCCCTACTATGCGACTTGTAGACAGACTGTACCTTGAAGAGCTTGGCGAAGACGGCGAGGGTGGTGTGCTCGTAGTGCATGCGCTCGCAGTGGGCCACGTAGGGGTCGTAGGCCTCCTCGCGCGACAGGATCGAGCCAAACCTCTCCTCGAAGTTGTTGGTGAGCCTAGTAGTGGTCGAGAGCCCGCAAGCCCCACACGATTAATTATCACACGTTGTACTTCCATCTTGCAAGATTCTTCCGAAAAGATGAAAGATGTAAATTGAAATTTGGAGTGTGGAGTGGATCGAGTGGGTCACACGATACCAAGCGAAGATGAGGTCGCTGGTATCGCCCCTGGGGACCATGCGCTGGCCAACTGTGGGTTGCTCATCGCCCTCTGGACGTTCCATGCGGAGGAGGCCTACTAGTGCCACGGTCCTTTGATCTCGCGTTCCGCCTGTGTTGCTAGTTCTCTGGTGCTCTTCTCCAAGCGGCCTACCTTATGCGTTTTCCTCGGCGCCAATGCGCACACGCCATTGGTTACAGACGAAAGTTAAAAAAATAAATTCATGAATGTTGCCAACCACTATTTATGGTATAGCTTCGTAGCCTCGACGCCTTTGGTGTCGCAGGAATAGCACCACGCCGCCCACCAGCCCGGCGACCGCCACCACGGCCGCCGCGCCGCCCACCGCCACGTAGATCATCATCGACCCGCTGCCGCCGCCGCCATCGTCGCCAGCCTTGGCCGACCCCGGCGATGCTGACGCTGACACCGACGCCACAGCCGACGATTGAAGGCTGGGCGACGGCGACGGCGACGCGCTCGCGGTGCTGCCGACGGGCGAGGACGGAGACGGGCTGGTGGTGCCGGCGAGGGCTGTGGAGGATGGCGAGGGCGAGGTGGTCGAGCTCCACGCCGAGGGCGACGACGATGCTGAGGGCGAGGGCGAGGGGCTAAAGGCGAAGGCTGCGGAGGGCGACGGTGATGCAGTGAAGAAGGGATCGAAAGAGGGCGACGGCGACGGCGACGGCGAGTAGCTGGTGTCTGGCCAGAGCGAAGAAGATGCCGACGGCGAGGGCGACGGTGATGCAGTGAAGAAGGGATCGAAAGAGGGCGACGGCGACGGCGACGGCGAGTAGCTGGTGTCTGGCCATAGTGAAGAAGATGCTGATGGCGAGGGCGACGGTGACGAGGAGAAGAAGGGATCGAAAGAGGGCGACGGAGAGGGCGAAGGTGAGGGCGAGTAGCTGGTGTCTGGCCACAGTGAAGAAGACGGCGAGGGCGAGGGCGATGGTGACGAGGAGAAGTAGGGATCAAAAGAGGGCGAAGGCGAGGGCGAGTAGCTGGTGTCCGGCCATAGTGAAGGATACGCCGACGGCGAGGGCGACGGCGAGGAGGTGCCGAAAGGATCGAAAGAGGGCGACGACGAGGGCGAGAGCGAGGGCGACGGAGATTCCGACGGTGATGGCGATGAGGTTTCCGCGGGCGCCGGAGATGCCGATGCCGACGGCGAGGAAGAGGGAGAGGGAGACGGCGAGCCGTTAGTAGAGGAAGTTGGACTGGGGCTGGGGCTCGGACTGGGACTGACGTAGGCCGCCGCCGATGGTGAGGCTGAGGGCGACGCCGCAGAAGCGGGCGAGGATGACGACGAAGGCGAAGGTTCGGGCGTGGGACCGACCACCGTCGGCGAGGGCGAAGGCGAAAAGGTGGAGTCCAAGGGCGACGGCGAAGAAGAAGGCGATGGCGACGGCGACTCTTCGCCCAGGGGTTCTTCCCTGGTGACGCGCACGAACGACTCCTGCTTCCCAACGGCCGCGCTCTCGCCGCCCAGGACCGCCACCCGCAGGACCCGGCGCCACTCGTCGTCGCTCTCCGTGGCCACGATCGGCGGCGGCGGGACGTAGACGAGGCGGCCCTCACCGTAGGGCAGCTCTAGCACCGGCCCTGTTGAGGATGTTGTTGTTGTTGATGATGATGGTGACGACCACTCGGATGATGGCGAGCGAGGGATGGTCAGGAGGCCGAAGAGGCGGGTCCACACGCGCTGGTCGCTGCCCACCTGGACGTAGCGGCCGCCGGCGGTCACCCACTCGGCGAGTTCCGGTCCCATGGCCTCCTCGAGTCGCCGCACCGCCGCGTCGTCGCTGTCGTCCTCGCCTTCCCCTGCGTAATCCAGACCCAGACCCGCCACCACCAAAACCTGGCACACGACACGAGACGCACAACACGTACGTGTGACACGCGGCACGACACACACACGACACACGTGTGAGTGCACTTACCAGCGGAGCTCCGGCCGATTGGTATGAGAAGAAGAGGCCAGGTTGCGGAACTCCTTATCAGAATGCTTGAAGCAACGAGCTCGAGCGAAGAAATAATTGTAATAAAGAAAAAAACAGGATAAAGAGAAAGGTACGCGGGTGGTGGCGGAGAGGACGGGGCTGGTGGGGAGGTGAAGGGCGTTGGCAATGCGAAGGGCAGCGGCGGGGTCGACCAAGCGCGGGTCGGCCAACACCTGGCCGAGCACGGCCGCCCGCGCTTGGTGTTGGCCAACGGCGGCCACTGCGAGCAGGACCAGGAGTGTGATGAAGAGGTCTTTGTGCAGTGTCGGTTGGCGCATTGCGTGGTACTTGATGGAGAGTGGAGGCAGAATGAGAGTGTAGGAGCTGACGGTTGAGGTACTTGGCTATTGGGCCATCGGCGCGGAATGAGATCCCCTATCTGCGTTGAGAAAAAGGACAAGAAACAGAAAAGAGAAAATATTCGTACAGCAAAGTGGGCAACGATGACGACGACAACAAAAAGAAGAGACAGCCTGGCAGCGAGGGAGAATTTAGGTGGCGGGCCTGACCAAGGGCATCAAGACGATCCTGGTGAGGTTGGAGCCTTGACGTCCCAGCGACAACCACAAAAAAAAATGGGGATGGCGCCAATGGGAATCGAACCCATGATCTCTCCCTTACTAGGGGAGCGCGGTGCCGACTGCGCCATGGCGCCCTCTCCGTGCCGGGCCAATTTTCCCTCATCCAGAGAGGGCTTCTTTCTCCCGTGCAAGTCTTCTCGTGGTCGACTCTCATTGCTAAGTTGAGTGAGTCCTCATCACCACAAGCAGCAGACTTGGTTCTTTCCGCTACAGACCAAAGCTGCGAATCGGTGGTGTTGCCTTGGGCCTGTTGGGAACACATGCCTTGAGGATGACAGCCCAGCATTTCCGAACGAAATCGCCTGTCTTGACGAAATTCCAACGGCAGACTTGTCTTCTTTCCTGCCACCCGGAGGCCACAATGACGGCACTTGCCCCTTCTTGTGGCGGTGCTCCATTGATCATCTGTTTATTCCACCTGCTCAGTCACGCCAGCACTCGAGACCACGCTTTGCTTTTCATCTTTTATCATCGCCTGACATAAATTCGCGAGCTACTCGAATTTAATCGACTGCACTCTGCCTCGAGTAAACCAACGACACATAACACAAAGATGAGCGACAGCGACAGCGCCAACACCAACACGACGAGCGGCAGCAGCACTACGCTGCCTCAGCCTCCCACGATGGGCCACACGCTCTCGTGCTCCTCGTCTTCCATCCCCGTGTCGTCGATTGAGCTTTCGGGCTCGCGTGGCTTCATCCCCCTGCGCCGCCGCAGCAGCGTGAGCCGTCCCCGCGACGTCATCATCGTCGTCAAGAAGCTCCCCGTCCGCATTCAGCTGGAAAGCGATGGTGGTTCGTTCTTCCTCTTCTCTTCCTCTTCCTCTTCCTCTAGACTGACAACAAGAGGTTTGTGCTGTGTAGAGCTGCAGGTGATCGAACAGCGTGAGAGCGACTTCTTCTCCACCATCAAGTCCATGGAGAGCGCAGGTAACCTTGAACAAGAACACACCACGCACGCCACCACATGTTCTCACACTTTCTGTGTTGTGCGGTGATGATGATGATGGTGACGACGGCGATCATCAGGCTCGTGCCGCGTGACGTGGGTGGGCAGCGTGCAGACGGAGCAGATTCCCGAGGACAGGCAGGAGGAGCTGACGCACATGCTGCGCGGCCGCGGCTACGAGCCGGTGCTCCTGCCCACGCCCATCCTCAAGAACTACATCGCCTTCTGCAAGTGCATCCTCTGGCCGCTGTTCAACTCGCAGCTGGTCACCCGCAAGTACACCAGTACCGTTTTCTTCTCCCACTCTCTTCCTTTTTCGCCCTTGGCACCGCGCTTAGCAGTCGCGCGTGTGTGCGGTGCGTGTGGTCGCGTGTGTCGTGCGCAGAGGAGCAATGGACGGCATACAAGAAGGCCAACGCGGCGATCGCCAACGCCGTGCGCGCCATGGTGGGACCCAGTCCCGACAACGACCTCATCTGGATCCACAACTACCACCTCCTCCAGGTCCCCTTCGAGCTCCGCAAGCTGGGCATCACCAGCCGCATCGGTACCCCCTCTTTGTTTTTTTATTTTATTTTAATTATTTATAATGGCTGTGTCGACAGGATTCTTCAATCACACGCCGTTCCCGTCGAGCGAGATGTTCCGGGCGCTGCCGATGCGTTCGTCGCTGCTCAAGGGCGTGCTGGGCGCGGATCTCCTGGGCTTCCAGACCTACGACGACTCGCGCCACTTCCTGAGCACCTGCACTCGCGTGCTCGCCGCCGAGGCCCACCCCAAGCAGGTGCGCTACTCGGGGAGCACGACCTCGGTCGACATCATGCCCATCGGCATCGACGCCGGCTTGTGGGAGGGCCTGCGCCAGCTCGATCAGGTCAAGAAGCGCACGGCCGAGATCCGCAGCATGTACGAGGGCAAGAAGATCATCGTCGGCCTCGACGCCCTCGACGAGACCATGGGCATCCACCACAAGCTCGTTGCCGTACGTTCTCTCTTCGCTCTTTCTTCGCTTTCGCTCTTTTATTTTAGCTCTGGTGAATGCTCAATTGATTGCGTGTGTGCGTGTTGCTATGCGACCAGTTCGGTACATTCCTGGAACGCCACCCGGAGTGGCTCGGCAAGGTGGTGCTGTTCCAGATCTGCAGCCCGCCGGACACCCTCACCGAGGAAGGCGACACCCGCCGCATGGAGCAGCTTCACCTCGACATCAACGAGTGCGCATTCATTCACATCTTTCTGGTGACACACACACACACACACCAACGCTCCTTGTGTGACCCACAACAGGTTGGTCGGCAAAATCAACGGCAAGTGGAGCAGCCTCAACTTCTCGCCGATCAGCTACCTCTACACGGAGCTCAGCCTCGAGGAGCAGGCCGCCCTCTACGCCGCGGCCGACATGGCCCTCCTCACTCCGCTCCGCGAGGGCATGAACCTCGTGTACAACGCCCAATCACGTCTTCTGACCAGGCAGCCGGCTATTGCGTCGATACTTCTCTCACACATATACAACCGCTCTCTCCCTCAGTTCGCACGAGTTCGTGGTGTGCCAGCAGGACACGTGGGCGCCGCTCGTGGTGAGCGAGTTCGCTGGAGCTGCGCAGAGGTACTTATTACCGTTACCATTTCCTATCATCGTCATCCTCTTCCATTGGCTTGATCAAGGCAGCGTGCTGATCCGTATGCGCGTGTTTTTCTTTTGCAGCTTGGTGGGCGCGCTCCTGGTGAACCCCTGGAACACGCGCGCCCTCACCGAGGCCATCATCACCGCCCTCACCATGGACGACGAAGAGAAGAAGGCCAGGTACAGCAAACGCGTTGCCTTGGCTAGCGACACAACTTCCAGCTCACTCTCCAATCGTGTGTCGTGTGTGTGCCAACCGGCAGGCACCAGCTCAACTGCGAGTACGTGATGAAGAACACGGCGTCGTTCTGGGGCTCGACCTTCATCACGGAGCTGTCCTCCATCGAGCTCTTCAACCAAATTCCGCCGCTCAGGTTCGACGACATCATGTCCGACTTCGCCAAGTCCAAGAAGCGGTACCCCTATCTCAACTCAACGCGCACGCAGCACCGCACCGCACCGCACATTGCTGAAATTCCCTTCCCGGCTGATGCAGGTTGTTCTTGTTGGACTACGACGGCACCCTCACGCCGATCGTGAACAACCCGATGGACGCCATCCCGTCGCAGCGCCTGACCAGCATCCTCACCTCGCTCACCCGCGACCCCCACAACGCCGTCTACGTGGTGAGCGGCCGCGACCGCCCCTTCCTCAACAGCTTCTTCGGCGCCCTGCCCATCGGTACGCCTACCCACCCCACACAACCTTCTTTGCATTCCTCATCCAGACAGAATGTAAGGAATGTGTTGGCTGACCTGTCTCGTCTGTGTTGCTTTGGGCAGGCATGTCGTGCGAGCACGGCGTGTTCTTCCGCCCGTGCGGCGAGGGCCGGGACTGGGAGATGATCGGCGCCGAGGTGGCGGCCAAGTGGAAGGACCTGGTCCTGCCCGTGCTCCAGGAATTTGCCAGCAGGACGCCCGGCTCCATGATCGAGGTCAAGGAGGTCAACCTCTCCTGGCACTACAGGTATACAACGCACCACACACACACACATACACACACACACACACACGACACACACACACACACACACACGACACGCACAGGTTGGAGGTGGACGGAGCTAAGGTGGTGTGATGTGGCACACAGGAATGCGGATGAGGACTTTGGCCTGTGGCAAGCCAAGGAGCTGGCGGTGCACCTGCAGGACATGGCCCAGAAGTTGCCCATCGACGTCATCCACGGCAAGAAGGTCATTGAAGTGCGCCCGTCCAACATCAACAAGGGTATACAATGCCTTCCGTAACCTTCTTTCCTTGTTGAGTGCGCGGCTGACTGACTCAATCAATCATCATTATAATCAGGTGCCACCGTGCGCAAGGCCCTCGCCCTCCACCCCGATTTCGACTTCATCTTGTGCGTGGGCGACGACCGCACTGATGAAGGTACTCTCTTTCTCTCGCTCGCTCTCTTCACGTGGGCTGATTTCGATTTCACGACTAACAACCCATCTCTCTCTTTCTCTCTCGCCAGATATGTTCTGTGCCCTCGACACGATGGTGCGGGAGGACGAGGACAAGATGATCTACACGTGCACCGTTGGAAGGTACACTTACGAATGATCATCGCCATCTCCCTTCTTCCTTTCACACTAATGCGCCTAAAAACTCATCGTCAATCGCACGCAACGCGCAGGAATTCGACGTCGCAGGCGCGGTACTATCTCAGGAGCCAGACGGAGGTGATGCGGCTGCTGGGCATGATGAGCGACGTGGCCGACAGCGCCACTGCCGCGCCCGCCTCTGGCCGGACCGCCAAGCCGGTCTCCCGCTTCGTTTCCTCTCCCGCCGTCTTCCAGCAGTGAGCCGCTTCAGCCACCACGTCTCAACTCCATCACCGCACTGTGGCAGTTGCATTCAACACTGGGGGTTTTGCACCTAAGAGCCACCAACACACAAGCATCAAAAGCCTTTTTACATTGTTGTGTATACATTTGCAAAACATCAACACCTGTTGGTGCACACTACACTAGCTTGGTTGCGTGTAGAGGGAGGAGGGGGGGGCATCAACCGTTGATGTTGGCCTTGAGCTTGGCGAGGCCAGCAGCCACGCGCTCCTTGCGTTTGCGCTCCTCTTCGGCCTTGCGCTTCTCCTCCTGAGCGATCCGTCGCTTCTCCTCCTCAAGCGGGTCGCCCGCCTGCTTGGCGATCTCCTGCTCGAAGAAGTTGGCCTTCTTGCCCACCGCCTTCTTGTCATCATGCACCTGCAGCTCGTCGACAATAAAGATTAACACAAATAAAATGTGAAACAAATAATTAAAAATAGAAATAAATAATAAAAGTACCTTGCCGACAGCAGAGGCGAAGCCAGTCCAGGGACCCTTGGAGGTGCCCTTCTTGTCCTTGAGGATGACGTTGAGGAATTCGCGGTAGTTGATGGCGCCGGTGTTGCTGGTGTTGGCTTCGGCGATGAGCTGGCGCAGCTGGAGCGCGGTCTTGGGCTGGCCCCACTCCTCGAACATGACGTTGAGCTCAAAGGTCTCGAGGGCGCCGCTCTTGTTTTCGTCGTACTTGACGAAGGTCTGCCGGTACTGCACCAGCTCGTCGGGCGTGAAGTCCTGGCGGAACTCCAGCTCCACCAGCCTCGGGTCATCGTCTCGCACAGTGAATGACGCCATCTTCTTGCTCTTGCTCTTCTAGATCTTTTTGCTCGTCCCTTTGTTTGTGATGAGTGTTGCTTCACGACACCTGGTCTGGTGCGACCGTAATTTCTGGTTGGTCGGCAGTAAAAATGTCTACAAAAACAACAAGAGAACTAAAAACAAAACTAATTCAAATTTGACGAGATTGGGTGGAAGAGATGAGCGATCGCGAGCAGCCTACATCGGAGCCCACCACGACGGTGGTCGAGGAAGAGGAGGAAGATGAAATCGAGAAGGGTCTGTTCGAGGAGCCGGAAGATTTTTACAAGCCGCCCCCGGAGCCCACCTTCCGGACCTACCATCGCAAATGCGGAGAAGACGGTGCACCTTCATCCCCACTTCCTCTCCCTCATTAAATCTAACCAAACGTATATCTTCTATAAATTCATTGTAAATGACAAATCGCGAGCAGTGAAGCTCAAGCTGGTGGGCAGCCACCCGCTTTGGGCGCACCTGCTGTGGAATGCCGGACTCGTGCTGGCCGACTACCTCGACGCCAACCCATCACTCCTCCACGGCAAGACGTACGTACGCCCTTGCATGACGTGTCGTGTCGTGTGCGTGTGCGGTGCTGCGCGTCGCGCTGCGTGTGTCGTGTCATGCGTCGTGGTCTCACCGGCACCGTGCGTGCTATTATGGCACAATTATAGGGTGCTTGAGCTGGGCGCCGGTGGCTCCCTGCCCTCCATCATCGCCATCAAGCACGGGGCCAAGAAGGTATAAAAATTAGAGCCTTTGGCACGCACACGCACCACCGCCATGCACACACGCACGCACCGCCGCCAGACGCACACGGCACTCATGGGTGGACGCGTGCAGGTGGTGGTGACCGACTACCCTGAGAAGGAGCTCATCGTCAATGTCCACGAGAACATCGAGGCCAACACCACCGCGGCGGAGCGAGAAAATGTCGTCAACATTCAGGTAAGTAGTATGTGTGTATATCTATATATCTGTTTACATGTAGAGATATGTGGTGAGCAACGCGAGTCATGTGCTGCTGCCCTGCAAGCCACGACGAGTCGAGTGGTGGTTGCTGACGCGAACCGCGCCTCACCGTCGTCAGGGTCATCTGTGGGGCACGTCGGTGGAGCCGCTCCTGGCGGCGCTGGCCGATGTCGGGGAGACCAAGTTCGACGTCGTCATCATGGCCGACCTCATCTTCAACCACAACCAGCAGACACAGCTCCTTCAGACCGCGCGCGCGGCCCTCAAAGACGACGGCAAGGTGCCTTGCACCCCACACGCACCACATTTCACGCAACGTTGTGTTTTCTGAGCCCTTTGCGTGTTGTGTTGCGTGCGTGCGTGCGTGCGTGCGTGCGTGCGTGCGTGCGTGCGAGCAGGTGCTGGTGTCGTTCTCGTCGCATCGGCCGTCGGTGGCGCACCTGGACGAGCGGTTCTTCGACATGGCGCGGCAGGAGGAGCATGGCGGGTTCGAGGTGGAGCACCTCTTCACGGAGATCCGCACGCCCATGTTCGCGGTCGACTTTGGATCGGAGGAGGTCCGCAGCACCGTACACGTGCGTGTCCTCACCTGGCCCACCAAGAAATAAATAATAATAATAATAAAGCAAACGTGCGCACAACGCACGCCTGCAGCCCAGCTCTTGCTGTCTCCGTGCTGCCACACTTGAAAGCCGTTCTACAAAAGAAGAAAAGTGTGATCTGCAAAAGAAAACCAATACAATGAATTTAAAGAGGTAGACAGCGCTAAGTACAAGCAGAGCAAGATGGAGCAAGGGAGGTTCTTCAAGCAGCAAAAAGAGTAGGATGGCGCCAATGGGAATCGAACCCATGATCTCTCCCTTACTAGGGGAGCGCGGTGCCGACTGCGCCATGGCGCCCCAAGCCTGCAAAGTTTGACCCCCGTATCCATGGCAAACGAAGGCTCACCCCCCAAACAGGTTGGTTGGTGCTTTTGTCCGAACCCGAATGTGTATCACCACCAGATAGTGAATGAATGCAGGCCTGCTTTAATGATACAATTGACACCCATCACCCACACATGATTTCATTTTCCACAGTCCCTATCTCTCTGGTCTCCACTTCACCTCTCTTCTCCCCACTGATCCTATACTATAGTCCACCACGAACTCGCTTCTTCTCTTCCTCCGAGCAGGCCTTAGAAGCCCACCTGGTTGAGAAGCTTGGACAGGAAGATGTCGACGACCGAGTTGAAGACCACCTCGATGTTCTTGGTGTCTGTGGCGCACGTCAGATGAGTGTAGACGAACCTCGTCTTGACCTCACCGTTCTTCTTCAAAAATTGCTTTTCAATGTACGCCGTCGCCTTGTCGTAGTCATTCCCGCCCTGCGGGTGCGCCAACCAAATATCATCAGCACATATACACCCAGTATGACGCGACACACACACACACGCACACACGCACACAGCACTACACGAGCAGTACCTTGTAGTCGGGAAAGCAACACCTGAGGTCGACCCTCTTGATCTTTTCGGCAAAGAGATCCTTCTTGTTCAAGAAGAGGATGATGGAGGTGTTCTGGAACCATCTGTTGTTGATGATGTCGCCGAAGAGGGTCAGCGACTCGTGCATCCTATTCATCGACTCGTCGTCTTCCAACTGCCACATGGATACATCACGAATATAAGTGAGTAAACGTGGGCGTCGTGAGTTAGTTACGTTCAAGATCTTTCTGTTGCGTTAACGCACCTTTTGGTCGAACTCGTTGAGCGAGACGACGAACACGATGGCCGTCACCTTCTCAAAGCAATGAATCCACTTCTTCCTCTCATTCCTCTGCCCGCCCACGTCCACCAGCCTGCACGCGCATGAAACAGTCAGCATTCTCTGTTCTCTCTTCGCTCTTCGCCTTTCGCGTTCATTCGCTTTCGTTTTCCCGCGTGAGCCAATGCTCGGGGGAGGGGACACGTACTGAAAGAAGAGGCCCTTGGTCTCGAACTTGGTCTCGAGCACGCCGGTGGTCTTCTTCCTGAGGCGCAGCATGTCGTTGTTGTCCGGCAGATAGGTCGGGCTCGCAATTCGATCAATGCTCTCGAAGAAACTATGTTTGAGAAGTGTGGTCAAGATGTTTAGGAAAGAACATATGAATGTGTTGGAGATTATGGAGATGTTGAGGTAGGGGGGTGAACGTACTGTTGGGCTGTGTCGTTGAGCTGAAACTCGGAGGAACGGGCGTAGGTCTGCTGGATCCCGGGGTCGGCCCAGAGGGCCTTGGCCACCTCGGCCGTCTTGCCGTGTATCGTGATGTCTTCGATCAAGTCGATATCCAGGATATATTCCACATCCTCCTACAATATATCAATCATCGTTCCATAGCAAACATGTCATGGTTAACAAACATAGTCAAAGGCAGTAACATCTTCATCTCAAAACGTACCTCGCTGAGTTCGATCTCGATGCCGAGGTTCTTGGCGGCTCGGAGGAGCTTTTGGCACGAATCGATGATGTTGAAGAAGACGAGCGGCTTCTGTTGCATCAGCTCATCGTGGCTGAAACCGTCGAGATGCAGGATCTGCATCTGCTTGGCCACCGTCGACTTGCCGGAGTCGCCCGCGCCTGATCATCAATCAGCGGCCGCGATCACACACGACAACAGATGACACGACACGACACGCAGATGAAATGGCGTAAGAAAATGATGAATAGTAGGCTTGGTGGGGGCGTGGTACCAAGCAGGAGGAGCTTGACTTCTTTCTGTGCCTCGTTCCGGCTCTTCTCGAGCTCTTTGTCGATCTTCTTGGAGGCCTGCTTGGCCGACACTTCGTCGGGGGTCATACCCCCTCCACCACACATGTTTCCCATCTTTCTTCCTTCTTCTTCAGGTGAAGCTGTAGTTTACAGCGTACCTCTCTTCTATTCTCTTCTGGAAATGAAGAGGACCAGATGAGAGGAGAAGAAAACAGTCTGCTTCAACTGTCTCTATCAGTCTCTCTACCTCTCTATCTCCCTCGCTATGTCTCGTTCCAATCTCTATCTTCTTCGATACGGCTAAATCGATCCCGCCGGAGAAGCCTTTGGGGGTGTTTGGGGGGGGCGGTACTCTCGAAACAGAACGAGGGACCCAGCCAATCCCAGTTGATGGTTTTAGTAAACCTTTTAAGGTAGCCCCATGCTTGAAAAAAGGACAGTTCCGGCTCCAAAATTTGGCGTTTACGAAACGAAACAAAATAAAATACACCTTCTTCTTCTGCTTCGTCCTCTTCGTCATACCTTGAGGAGGGCCTCAGTGTAGCTGGTGAGGAGCTGCGAGACGAGGCTGCGGTCGGGCATCGTCGCCGCCATGCCGTAGACCGGCGCCATGCCGTCCTTGAACCTCTCCGGGTGTTCGCGCACCTCGTCGACGGACTCCCGCAGGTCCGCCAGGAACACATCCCTGCGCGTGGGTGCAGAGATGAGCGGGACCGCACAGGCACACCGCACACACCGCACACGCTGCATCGCACACGCACACGCACACGCACACGAAGCGTACCGGTTGAAAGTTTCGCGCATGGCGACGGGAATGTGGAGGCACACGGGCTTCTGCATGCAGGCGATGTTGTTCCAGCCTCGATTGCGCATGGCGTCGGCCACCTTGAAGATGTCCAGCTTGGAAGACCCGAAGGCGATGGCGCAGGCCTCGGGCGCGCCCACCAGCTCCACGTCCGGCAGAGCCTTGATCCTGGTGCACCACTTGGGGTAAACACGCGTGTCGTGTCGTGCGTGTCGTGTCGTGTGTTGCGTCGTGTGTTGTGTCGTGTGCTGTGTCGTGTCGTGAGGAGCGTACCCGTTGACGAGAACCTCGAAGGTCTCCTGGATATTTCGGGCGGCCTTGAGGTAGCCCTCTTCGCCGAGACTCACCAGCGACGCCCATGCGGTGGCAACTAACAACAACGACATGTCAGAAACGCAACGACACGACAAGACCCACGAGCCGCACGCACGACACGACACGACACGACACGACACGACACGACACGACACGACACGACACGACACGACACGACACGACACGACACGACCAACGACACGACACGACACGACACGACCAACGACACGACCAACGACACGACACGACCAACGACACGACTCGACGCACATGACCCGCGTAAAGGAATGGGTCGGCGTACTCAGTCCTCCGGGTCTGCTGCCGGCCGCAGACGGAGAGCAGTAGAGCCCACCGGACCACTCGGTGTAGGTGAAGAACTGGTTGAGGAGGAGCTCCTTGTTGCGGTAGCAGATGACCGACGCGCCCTGATCGATCAACACAACAGAAATAACATCGATACGTTACATTCCATACTCCATTCCAGTTAATAGAAATGTGGCACATTGCAACAAGGTGTACACACCTTCGCACTGTAACCGTATTTGTGGACATCGAGACTCACCGACGTCACGCCGCGCACCGAAAAGTCGAATTTCTTCGAGATGTGACCTGTACATTCGTAACAAATTTCAGAAAATAAATGAAAGTAAATGATAAATAGCTAATATATAGAATATAAATATATAAATATAAAAAATATAAATAAACTATCAGGGACGGGAGTGGTACCGAGCTTCTGAAGCCAGGGCAGGAGGAAGCCGCCGAGGCAGCCGTCGACGTGCAGACCTACGCCGTGCTGCAGCGCGATCTTGCTCAGCTCCTCGATGTCGTCGATCACACCGTGCGGATAGCCAGGCGCCGATCCCACGATCTATGCAATATACCGCACACGACACATAAGGACACCACACGACACGCACACAATTGTCAGTGAACGACTGCGCACCGAGAGAGAGGAAAAGTGCAAGGTTCAAGCGGTGTGGCGCATACCATGATGACGTTGGGGTTGACGGCCTTCCTGACGGCGGCGAGGTCGACCTCCATGGTGACGTCATCAACGGGCACCACCACCAGCTCCACGTCAAAGTAATGAGCCGCCTGTAGATCAATTAATTGCGCAAGGTAACATTACGTAAGCATGGTGTCGTGCGTCGTGCGTGTCGTGCGTGCCTTGGCGAACGCAGCGTGGGCCGAAACCGGAACGATCCTGCACACACGGCACGAACATGCACGTTGGTGATGTGTTGGGCATTGGGCGTTTGGGGCCAAGTACATCTGCGGCTTGATGCCGGGGATGCGCTTCCGGGCGCTCTCCCGGTAGGTCTTGACGGCCATCAGGATGCTCTCCGTGCCGCCCGAGGTCATGGTGCCGCATGTCTGGAATTCCAACCCACGTGTAAGTCCATTTTATACAATATATATAATACACGCATTTCTCCATCATTTATCTGTATGCACGCAAAGAAAGAGTGGGGTGCGTTGTGCCTGGTCGTCGCCGGAGAGCATGGTGCAGGCCATCCGCACGACCTCGGCCTCGAACTTGCGCAGGGCGGGGAAGAGGTCCGGATACAGCGCATTGCTGTCGGCAAACAGGCCGAACACCTGGTGCTGCGTCTCCTCGTGGCTCTCCAGATCAATGTAGATCCCTCCGAATCCCTACCGCACGATACACATCGCACACGCACACAAGCGGTCACACGCAAGTGTTAGTACCACAGCCGTCATCGCCTGAGCGCATTAGTTGGAGCACGCGCCATGTTTTTTTTGTAAACAATGAAATGAAATAAATAAATGATCACAACGTGACGACCAGCGAGAGCGCACCTTGCCGGCGGCGTAGGCCTTCTCGATGTTGTCGCCGCGCATGGCGCGCATGGCCGAGAGCAGGGAGTCCGAGTCGAGGCCTCGGGCGGGGATGCGGGTGAAGGTGAGGCTGCGCTCGCGGGCCAGCTCGTCGAGCTCCTTGTTCTTGACCATCACCTCGATCTTCTCGACTATCTTCTGGTTCTCCTGCTCGATCTTGCCCTTGACGCCGGGCACCACCGACAGGCCTCGGATGACCCCCACGAGCAGGGCGTCCTTCACCCCTAGGTCCGAGTAAAATTAATTTTTAAAACATAGAAATATATATATCAAGAAATCACAATATGCCTATTCAAAAAAACACTTCGCGGCAGAGAAGAAGGGGGTACCCTGGAAGCCCAGGGAGAAGGCCTTGTTGATGAGCCAGATGAAAACAGCGGCCACGATGGCATGCTCAACGAGAAGGAAGTCCATTATCGGCAGGGCGAAGGAGAAATAAAATACAAGTGGCGCGTAAGTTGGTGAGCAAGTGCTCGCGTGTCATGCTCGTCCGGGTTATTGCAGGAGTATTTTGTGTTTCTTTTTTAATGCTCCTTATTGTGGAATGTAGAACTGGCGACGGGAGTTACGGAACATTTTCGATTTATTTATTTTATTTATCTTTTGCTTTTTCTTTGTTTCCCGTGATTGAAGACGCCACGTCGCCTCGGGGGCCATCTCCATCTTCTGATTCGGATTCGATTCTACTCAGGATCGTCGATAAACGGAGTCGGTAATCGTTAGGTAAAAGCAAGAAGAGAGACGATGCTGCCCGATGTGTACACGATATTCGTGGGGGTGACCACATTCGCGCTACTCGTGGTTGCGTCGTGGTGCGTGGGTGAGGGTGGCGAGATTTTGGGCAAGAAGTACGACGCCTCCATTGTGGGTGGACTCGTCATCGCCTGGCTCAACACTGCCCCCGAGACCATCTTCTTCATCACCGCCCTCGAGAGCGACAATCCCCGATTCGCCGTCGGCGCCGTCTCTGGCAGCTCCATTGGTACCACCCTTGTACTACATGGCTGCCACTCGAGAATCTCATTCACATGACCTCCTACAGTCGTGTGCACGATTGCGCTTGGTGCTTGCTTGTGGATTGGTGCTCGCGCTCGCAAGTCTGGCAAGGTTTTCCTCCAGCAATCGGTACACACCCGTCCTCTACGCGTTCTTGTGCTACACAAGTCGAGCGCGAACTCTGCTCACCTACGACGCGATCATACGTATGTGGCACATCATAGGTGAAGCAACAGTGCTACATTCTCGGCGCATCGGTGCTGGTTCCCGTGACCATCATGGTCTTGGGCTTCAACCTCTTCAGCGCTGTTCTGGGCGTGCTGTTCTACATCGGTTTCCTCATCTACTCCCTGCAGCGAGGAGAACCCTCGCGCCCCGAAGAGGAGAAGGACGAGGACATCGAAGCTATCAGTACATCTCTCTCTCCCCCTTTGTCTGTCTGGCTGTCTGTTTCTCAGTCGTTGCTTATATGGTAACGCATGCATGTGTGATCTATCAATGATGGTGGCAGTCGAGGAGGATGATGAAGAAGAGGAGTCCACCACCAAGGGAGTCATCTACCTGTGCGTGGGCGGAGTCATGATCTTCCTCTTCTCCAACCCTTTCATCCAGTCCGTCGTTGCTACTGCCTCTGCTTTGCAGGTGCGTGTCCCGCCCGCGGTAGCCAGACTGGCGCGAGCGCCACGTTTGCTTTTTGCTCACATGGAAGGTCCCTTACCACCAACAGGTCAGCCCGACCCTGCTCGCTTTCTTCTTGGCTCCTATCGCCTCCGAGGCGCCCGAGATTCTGGAGAGTATCTCTCTGTCGCGCAAGGGCCATCCTCAGAGCATCAACGTCGCCTTCAGCAACCTCGTCGGCGGCACCCTCTCCAAGACCACCCTCCTCTGCGCGGTATGTACCCACCTCTGCTTCTGCCGTGCGCCGTTGATGTGTCTAACACTTTTGCATGTCGTGTCGTGTCGTTGGTCGTGTCGTGACAGATTTTCTGTTTCTACGGCGTGAGGAAGGGCTTTGTGTGGGAGGCGCCCAACTACACCATCAGTCTGTGCCTCATCTCGGTGTGCGCGTTCGCGGCGGCCGCCATCGGCTTCGGCTTCCAGCACCAGACGCACCGTCACGGCGCTGCTCTCTTCGCCCTCTTCGTCATGTGCGGCCTCGTGCAGTACTTCCTCAACGGCAACGCTGCCGAGGAGGAGCTCCAGCAGATCGTGGCTGGCTGATCGTCCAAACAAACAGAAGAACGATTTTTTTTTTGACTGCTGACGTGGCACTACTTTCTTTTTTACATAAAGTCAGCCAAGCAAACAAATCAATCGCACAAACGTATAGAAGATGGACGCGCCTAAGGATCTTGAATTGATGCACAAGAGGGTGGTGTTTTCGATCCTCCAGTATCTGAATGGCTTGACCCAAGGCGGTGCTGCTGTGCCGGCTGGGCTCGATAAGGAGGGTCTGGAGGTGGCCGTGCAGTGCATCGCCTCGGCCTTTGGCGTGGATCCTGCAAATTCCGAACATCAGAGCCAGTTCGCTGTGCCCTTCCAACTTACCGACATCTACAACTACGGCCTTCTCCATCTTGCACAGGTGCGCATGCTATCATTGTATTCTAAATCTCGGACCTGGTTGATCCGCTTACACCCGCGCACGAGCGATTGCTCGAAATTCATTCATTAATTTTCATTCATTTTTGGCTTTTTACGTGCCGTAGCAGCAGGCTGCCGAGGCTCCCAAGCCCACCGCCACTCCCGCTGGTACGCTGCAACAGCGCGACGGATGAGATGCAAGAGATTACGGACGCGTAGCGCCACTAATACTGCCACTAATACTCACAGGCCAAGAGGTGCCCAAGGAGCTGGAGGGCAAGTTCCAGACCTTCCTCAATGTGCTCGAGGGCAAGGGCTTCTTCACGGGCCTGACCAAGGGCACCACCGGTACACCAGCCTTCTACTCCACTTCACCATTCGCAGAACGTAGCGCGCAGCTGGGCTGCCCCATGATATACTCACCCTGCTGACCATGACTTGGGTGTGCACGCGCACAACACACACACACACACACACAGAGTACCAGGACCGGTACAATCTGGCCAAGCAGCGATTTCTCAGCCAGTACAGCGGCAGCACGCAGACCACCCCTGCTCCTGCTCCTGCTCCTGCGGCTGTCGATCCTGCCGTGCAGCTGCAGGAGGCCGAGAAGTTCAAGGCTCTCGGTACGTGTGGGCAGAGGAACTGCCCTACTATCGGGCTGCCGGGTGAAAATCGAGCTTACCGGTGGTGATGATGAACGTGCAGGCAACGAGAAGCTGTCTTCTGGCCAGCCGGCCGAAGCGATCGAGCTTTACAACAAGGCCATCGCGCTGAACCCCAACAATGCCGTTTACTACGGAAACAGGTGCGTGGCCTGGTTGCTCATCTATGGTGTACTGCAACCCCCCATGTTGCTGATTATCCCTGTTCTCTGCTTCGCTACAGAGCTGCTGCCCACAGCACACTGCAGCAGCACGAAAACGCCATCCTCGACTGCAAGAGAGCGATCGAGCTCGACCCCAAGTACCTCAAGGCCTACTCTCGCCTCGGGTACGTGCATGCAGCCGCTCAGCGTCGCCCTCTCCTCGCGTCTGTCAAAGATATCCTGACGCCGGCGTTTTATTTGGCACCACCCCCCAACAGCTTCTCCCTGTTCTCTCTCGGCAAGTATACGGAGGCGATCGACCTGGGCTACAAGAGGGTCCTCGAAATCGATCCCGAGAACACTGGTATAGTCCCACCACATTGACAGCATTGTACGCAGCCGCACTCACTCCTTGCCGCGCTGTTTGTGTGGTTCCCTCACACAGCTGCTCAGGAATCTATGCGTCTGTGCCAGCAGAAGCTCGGGCAGAGCGCTCCTCAGGCTGCTGCCCCCGCGGTATGTCAACGCCACCCATGCAACCATTGCATGCTTGCATGCTGCGCTAAGGTGCAACCGAAAGCAAACAACGAACAATTGGCCTAACTGTATTATGTCTGGAACACCATCACCACCACCGTGTTTCGATGTCTGCGATCAGGCTTCCCCTCTGGGAGGACCCGGAATGGCCGGTTTGGCCCAGATGATGAGCAGCCCTGAAATGCAGAACTCCATGAGGCAAATGTTTGGCGGCTCCGGTACGAGGCCTTTTCCTTCTTGACCCGCGGTTGATGTAAGCTAAGCCTCGTTTTGTGCACTTTGACAGACGGTGCCCCACCGGACCTGAACAACCTGCTGGGCAACCCTCAGGTCATGAACGCGGCTCAGCAGATGATGTCCTCGCCCCAGTTTTCTCAGATCCTCAACAACCCCCTCTTCATGAACATGTACGTTATAGCACGATCTTCTTCTTCTCTCTCTCTCGCTGCGTTCTTCGTCCAGACAGTCCAGCTCATCGTTGCGCGCGTGTTGCGTGTGGTGTGGTGCAGGGCGCAGAACCTGATGCAGAATCCGTCGCAGCTCAACCAGATGTTCTCCCAGATGGGCGGCCCAGCTGGCGCCCAACAGGGCGAAGACGACGACGAGAACGCCCAGCAGTAGTCGTCGTGTGTGCGAGCGCTCGCCCCCCCCCCTTCTCATCCAGGACCTGGTGACTTGCCTCTGCTCTCTTCGTCGTGTCTGAAAAAGAAAAGAATTAAAAATTATTAAAAAGGTGATATTAGATAAAATAAAAAAAGAAACAGAAGCAGAAACAGACTGTATGACGTTGCTGTTGCGTGTGTCAAGTCGTGTGCCGAGTCGTCACCGCCTCTACTCCACCATTTGCTTGTCTTCCTCTTCTTCCGGCGTTGCCTCTCGCGCATCTCCGCCCCTTCGCTTCTTCTCCGCGGCCGCTGCGCCACTTCGTTCAACCGCGAACCAGCACCACAGGACGTCTCTTTTCTCGTCGGCAGCATCAACAATGGAAGGGGAGCACGTTGCGGTAAAGGCAGAAGTCCAAGAGGAGGAGCAGCTGATGCCAGATTCTCAAGAATCGACGTCTTGGCATCGGCTACAGCTCGACTCACCCGATGAGCTGCGCCTCCACCTGTCCCTGCCCTCCGGCCAGTCCTTCAGATGGAGCACCTGTCTCGGTACCCCCTCATCATCTCCAAATTAGTTATTTATAAATATTTTAAGAAAATAAATAAATATATTTACATTTAAAGAGAAAAAGTGAGGCTGATCGGCGAGTAGTGGACGGGCGTGAGGTGTGGGCCGGGGTGATCAAGCAAACCGCGTACTTCCTGCACCAGCCGCTCGACGACCCCGCCCTCGTGCTCTTCCGCTACCTAAACTCGTCCGGTACCGGACGTGTGTGTGTGTGCGTGTCGCGTGTGTGTCGCGTGTGTGTCGCGTGTCGTGGCATTCTCACGCGTTGCGCTCTCCGGGATCAGACGCCGATCGTGAGAGTGGAGTGGAGGTGGAAGCCAAGCGGCAAGAGCTCGAGGACTACTTCCAGCTGGGCATGCGCATGGAGGACGCCTGGAACAGGTCCGCCTCGCACACCGCACCACCGCACACGCTCACACAGCCGGCGCACACGCACCACCGCACACGCGCGCAGCTGACGACGTGGTGGCAGGTGGACGGCCCAGCGCGAGAAGGATCCGCCGATTGTGGCCCACTTCAGGGACGCGTGCCTTCGCTTCCGAGGCCTGCGCACCCTACGCACCGACCCCGTAGAGTGCCTGGTATGCTGCGTATGTGTCGTGTCGTGTCGTGTCGTGTCCAGTCAGGGCAGCTGACATCTAGCGCTCCAGTTCAGCTTCATCTGCTCGCAGAACAACAACATCGCGCGCATCACGCAGATGGTGAACGCCCTCTGCACGCGCTACGGCGATAAGATCGGCGAGGCAGTCGTGCAGCGCACCAGCGACACAAAGGTCTGTGCCTCACGCCGCACACGCCGCACACACACCGCACACCCCTAACACGCAATGGTCGTGTGTTGTTGTTGTTGTTGTTGTTGTTGTTGTTGTTGTTGTTGTCTTGCTTGCTTGCTTCAGGCCGAGACGCGGGCGTTCTACGCGTTTCCGACGCTGGAGACGTTGGCGGGCGTGCCCGAGCGGGCGCTGCGGGACATGAGCTTCGGGTACCGCGCCAAGTACATCCCGACCGCCGCCCAGCAGGTGCTCGACAAGGACGACCCCGGTACTACCCCCCCTCTCCGCTGCTCGGCTCGGCTCGAGCTCAAGGCAATGCGTGCGTGTGCGGTGGTGTGCGGTCGGCAGAGCTGGGGGCGGGGCGCGACTGGCTCTACGGGCTCCGGGAGCGGGCGGTGTCCCGCGAACGGGCGCAAAAGGAGCTCACCTCCCTCCTGGTACTCGTCCCCCGTCGTGTGTCGTGTGTGTTGTTGCTGCTGCTGCTGCTGCTGATGTTCTGACCATCGCATGACACGCGTGCACAGGGCGTGGGCAAGAAGGTGGCCGACTGCGTGTGTCTCGTCTCGCTCGACAAGCTCGACGCGATTCCCGTCGACACCCACGTCCGGCAGATAGGTTCGTCGCACCCAAGGTGCCTGCCGCACACGCTGTGAATGCGCACCTCACTATGAGTGTCGTTGGTCGTGTCGTTGGTCGTTGTGCGGCGAGCAGCGCAAAGGTTCATGCCGTCGCTCAAGCGCAAGGCCAACAGTTCGCTGACGGACGCCCTCTACGGGGAGATCTCGAGCTTTTTCAAGGACCACTTCGGCGCCAACTGCGGGTGGGCGCACAGCCTTCTCTTCGCCGCCGAGCTCCCCATCTTCCGGCTGCCGAAGAGGAAGGCCGCGAAGAAGGAAGAAGACGAAGAGAACGAGAACGAGAACGAGAACGAAAGCGACAACGAAAGCGAGGCGGCGGTGAAGGTGGCGAAGCGGGAGAAGAAAGCGAAGCGGGAAGCCGCCGCCGCCGCCACCGTTACCACCACGACGAGGCGACGGAGCAGCCGATTGAGCGGCAAGCGAGCCCTGGCGGTGGTGGAGGAAGAGGAGGAGAAAGAAGTGCTGGTGGTGAAGCGGGAGAAGAAGGAGGGCGAGAACGGCGAGACGCCCATCACCTCCCGACGCAAGAAACGGAGAGCGTCGGTCGAGTGATGTGGTAGTTATTCTCACACGCCACGATGCTCAATGTATCTAAAGATATGGTGAGAGCAAACAATCTTTTCATGGCACCTTGCCGCTCAACAGCGAATAGCGCTGCACGCCGGCCAGCCCCGCCCGCGTCTCGGCCTCCTCTCTTTCGACGGCCGTGAGCGTCTGCTCCTGCATGCCGCGCATACCACACACACACAAGTTAGCGTTGCATTGCACCTTGCCAGTGATGAATGGAATGCTCTCTAAGGAATGTGCGGTGTGCCCGGGGGCGCTGACCTGCTCGTCGAGCTTGTCGCGGGTGTACATGCGGTGGGCGAGGCCGTAGAGCTGGAGGAAGAGGAGGGCCTTGAGGGCCACCAGGCAGCTCCAGGTGAGCCCCAGCACCAGCACGCCCCACCACCCGCCCAGCGGCATCACCTGCCCCAACACCCGCACCACCTACTCCCCCCCCCGATGTCGGTAAGCAACGCGTGTGCGTGTGCGTGTGAGTGTGAGTGTGCGTGTGCGTGTGCGTGTGCGTGGTGCGCACCAGGCAAGCTAACGGCATCGATACGAAGCCGATGCGCCGGGAGAGGGCGTAGTGGTGATCGAAGGCGCCGTGTTTGGCGCGGGAGGCGACGATGTCGGAGCAGATGATGGTCTGGTACTTGCGGTAGAGGTCGGGCGTGAGGTGGTTGAACTTGGTAACGAAGCAGTGCTTGATCCAATCCACCAGGTTCTCGCTCACGAATATCATCCCCGTCATCACCAGCATCTGCGTCACCCACTCCGATGTGATCTGCCAATTCGCGATCATCATCATCAACAACATCAACAACAACATCAACATCATCATCATTATCACATAATGAAAACAATGATCAACAGCATTCATTAATTAGCATGCAACGAGGAGGAGTGTATTTACCTCCCAGTTGAGGTCGTTCATGTTATGGAGGGAGCTCATGATGATGAACACGAAGATCTGGAAGCGCTCCACAGCATCTGAAAAGTATGCACACGACACGACCAACGACACGACACGACCAACGACACGACACACGCGCAACACGACACGACCAAGTCTACGTGAGGCCAATGTGTGTGTGAGAGAGAGAGATTAGTGTGAATGATTGGAGGAGGGACGTACCGCTGCAGGAGATCTGGAAGAGGTTCTCCTTGGAGTACTTCTTGAAGACGCAGCCCTTGAGTTCGATGAACTGGTTGCTCACCAGCACCGTGATCAGCAGACCCGACTCCGAGTTGAGGGCCACGTTGAGGGTCACCATTTGGTTGAACAGCACCAACGCGTGCAACAGTGAACCACGAGTCAAGGCGCTAATACTTGATTACACGACACGCGCCACGCGCCACGCGCCACATACGACCAACGACACAACCAACGACACGCGCGGCACATACGAACATGACACGACACGCGCGGCACAGGTGGGGTAAAAAGGATATCGACATAGACGAGGGCGGCGATGAAGTGGAGGCCCAGGCGAAGGGCGTTGCGCGGCAGACGTGAGTCGGCCACCGCCCGCAGGAACAGCGCGTCCCATATGTCCTGCCCGAACACCGTGCACAGCTTGTCGAAGATCTGTGTCGTGTGTCGTGTCGTTTGCCGTGCAGCCCAACATCATCGAAGTTTAGAGCACGCGCGGTGGTGTGTGCGTGTGCGGTGCGTGTGCGCACCTCGAGCACGTTGTAGATGACGTAGAGCTTGATGATGGATTGGCCCCGGATGTAGTGGTACACGAGGGAGACGTCCACGTGGCTCAGCACCCCGCAGCACACCACGAATATCGCGCCCCGCATCACGTCGTACCGCGCCCCGCCCAGCTGCACCACATTCCTGCGTTGTCGCACACGACACGACACGACACGCACCACGACACGTCATGACACGCAACACAGCACACGACACCCGACACGACACGCGCGGCAAGTGGAGAGTGAGAGTGAGAGATCGGGCGAAAGAGTGTTGGGGGGGGGTGAGTACAAGGGTCGGAAGAAGCTGAGGAGGTAGCGGAGGAGGCCCAGCACGACGCGGCCCGGGAAGAACGTGAACGTGAACACGAAGCAGTCCATGCACACGAAGAACCCGAACAGCAGAAACTGACCACCCACATAAATAATTATTAAAAAAAATGGAACATATAGAGTAAATACATAAAGAGGCAAATAAATAACAACAAAAATATAGAAATAAGTACCTTTTCGAGCTCGATGGGAACGAGGAAGAAGTTGTAGATTTCGTTTTGCTTCTTGCGCTGCTCGGGGTCGGCGGGTCCGTAGTCGGCGTCGATCTCCTCCCACAGGTACGACCCGAGGGTAGAGCCGAACAGCGACGACGACCCTTTTCGCGCAGCCGCGGCAGGCGAGGGGAGTGTAGCGGAAGAAGATGATGACGCACTCGTGTGCAGGTGCAGGTGCGTGCTGGGTCGAAGGCCTTCGTTGGCCAACATGTTGGTTGTGGGGTGTGTGGCGGAGAGGAGACCTTATCTCTGGGCAGGGCAGCTAATCCATCTCCCTCCTTGTACAAGAGGAATAAAAAAAATTGAAAAGAGAAAGGAAAAGTAAAGGAAAAGAGTTTAGTTCTTCATTATTCTGCAAGTGCTTGATAAGGATCTTGTTAGGCCTAGTCTTAGGAATCGTTGAGCTGGTAGACTGTGGCAGAGAGAAGGTCGATTATCTTGGATACCGGCTGCAGATTGTAGGGGTGTTCTTGATGCTGCATCAACTGTTGACGACTCACCACAACACACACAACACACACGCAACACATGCCACAACACACACACACACACATAGGATGAAATCAGGTGACAGTGAACTAATTGGACTCAATTCACTCACGAAGTACCTGAGAGACCAGGTTGTAGAGGTACTTGCTCTTCTCAAAGTTGACCATGCCCCGCACTGTCGATGGGATGTGCTCCTCCGCGCTCAGGATCTTGCACAGGTGAAAGTCTACGCACCCGCGCAACCAATCATCTCAATAAACATTCCAATGTATGATCATATATTGCACGCCCAAATTGCGGGCATGTTGGTGGGAAATCCAGTTGGTGTGGGTACCCAGGTAAGGAATGTGTGGGCTGCCGGGAATGTGGAGGAGAGTCTCTCTGTAGAGCTCCTCGTTGACCATCAGCTTCTCAATGCACTCAAAATCCTGGTGCATTGCCACACAGACGTGATCAACAGGAGTGGGATCACCATACATGCACTGCACTGGGCTTGGAACCTTTTTGTCGCGCTTGGAGAGCTCGGGCCACACGGTGGTGAGCTTGAGGGACTGGACCGAGTAGACCTGGTAGATGCTACTCGCAGACACGGCCCATTGGTTGATCCCGTGCAGGATCGCCATCGCCGTGTTGAAGTTGTTGAGTTGCAACAAGCGCTGCACGGAAACCGGATCAGCGGCATACACATACACATACACATACACACACACACACACACATTCCGTGCATTCCTCTGTGCAGGGCGGGGCTCAACGCACGTTGGCGAGCTGGATGAAGCGCTTGACGATGCGGGTAAGGGGCTTGGACTTGGGTCCGATGGAGGCGATGTGCTGCCGCACCCAGCGGGCCAGCTGCCGGAAGCGACAGATCGTGTGCAGCAGGTTAGGCGCTCGCTTCTGCTCCTCCGCCTCGTCGCTGCACCAGCAGTACGAGATGAACTCCACGGCCTGTCACCACCACCATCAACATCATCCACCGTCACCACCATCGCCATCATTGCTATCATCAAGACTGAAGGAGGAAGAGCTACCTGGATCTTGGTGAAGCAGTGGAACTCCATGATGGTGAGCTGGCGGGCGAGCTCGAGCTCCGATATGTCCCACACCTTGAGGCTGGGCGAGAACAGGTTCTTGGGCACCTGTTCCAAACCGCCAATACATTCCCAATTTATATCAAGTGAAAATAAATCACAAACAAGAACTAAATTCACAAAGGGCCAATACCTCGGGGTACGGCGGCTGTCTACTGAACTGGTAGGAGGTGGGCTCTCTTGTGCCGCCTTGCCGCTTGATCTATCTGGAATGTGAGCGCTGGCGAACTAGAACTGAATTTACAAGAGCGGCGCGACGCGGTAGCGGGTGGTCGCGTCGGGTTACCTGCTGGAGGAGGCGCACGAGCTGGAGGGACATGTTGCCCGTGACCACCTTGGAGGCGAACTTGTGGATGTGGTCGAGCAGGTGCCGATCGCTCTGGAGCTGCGAGGAACACTTCTCCACCCACATCTTGATCACGTTGCACACCCGCAGGCGGATTGGACTCTGCTCATAGCCCACCCAGAATGTAAGTAGAGAGAAAAAACGCGCGCGTCTGGTGTGTGTGTGTGTCAGAATCGCACACCTGTACACTCTTGGTCCATTCCTCGCGGTCCGCACCCTCGCAGCCCGCCGGCGGTTCCATGAAGTACCGCCGGATGAGAAGCTTGAAGAGGTTGCGCGGGGACGTGAAGTTCTCGTAGGTGAGCATGAAAGTCTTCACGAACTCGAGATCTGCGCAAAATATGGATAAGTTAGGACATACATAGAATTCCTCATCGCCGGGGGGTCGACGCGTACCGTGCTCGGCCGGGTGGGTTAGGTAGACGACGAGCTTGGGCAGCGTAGCGAACTTGATGTTGGAGGCCTTCTTCTTGGCGGTGTTCTCCTCTCTGGAACGGAATGCAAAAAACAGTTGTGAAAAAGAACGAAAAGCGATGAGGAAGTAAAACCAAAAGAACGAAAGCGATGGGGGGGGGGTTACGGGTCGTCGCGTTTGTAGGGGCCACGAGAGGGTCCGTCGATATCGAGCCGCTGCTGAACCGGAGGCGGCAGCAGGTACTTCAGGTCCGGCAACGGGCCCAATCTCTCGCGCGCCACCGATGACGCCCTTCTCCGTCTGTGCACCCACCATGTCGTGGGTCGTGTCGTGTCGTTGGTCGTGTCGTGTCAGCAAAGGAATGACGGTGGCAAGTGAGTAGGGTCCAAACCGTTCTCCGCTCTCGGTCAAACTCTCGGAGAAGGAGTACTTGCGGAGCTCCGAAGAGACCTCGCGCTCGATCATCCCGGCCAGCTCCAGACTGAGCCGCCGTCGCCGCCGCGTGGTTCGCATCGTTCGCTCTCGGAACGAGGTCTGCCTCGCCATCTGGATCGACGTCAGCCGGAGAGAGTGCCGGCGGACCGAAGTGTTGGATTCGGCGTTGGCTGCGGCGTCGTCGTCATCGAGGACCTCTTCCTCGGAGAGCACCGCCACCTCCTTCTCCTCCTCGATCCACTCCTCCTCGCCGGCCTCGAAGAACAGATTGTCGGGCGTCTCCCGCGCATCGAACCGCTTCTTCAGCCGATCCCACCCTCGAAATTGCAGAAAGAGTCTGTGTGTCGTGTCGTGTCGTGTCGTATGTCGTGTGTCGTGTGTCGCATCATGTCGTTACTCCAGCTAACGCGTTGGAGGAGGGGAGGAGGAGAAAGGGTGAACGCACGATCGCCAGGTCTCGGCCATCAACGCGATCTCGAGTTGCAACGGCCTGTACAAGGGGAGAGGGAATAAATAACAAATAACTAAAACCTAAACATATGAAATTTAGGTCGGACCTGATGACGGTCCAGCGAACGTGGAAGCGAGGGCGCCAGAGCGAAGGGTCGGATGCCAGGCGGCGCCACCGCCGACATACGGCCACCTGCCGCCGCAGCATGTCCGTCGGTAGCATTTGAAATACCCCCAACAGAACCTGATGAGGAGTGCAAGCCCCGCCTCGAATCAGCACACGACACACGCATTGCCACGTGGATTTATGAAGAGGAGAGGCGCACCTCGTCGGGTATCTTCTGCGCCAGGAGCGAAGACAGCTCTTCACGACCCCGCGGTGGCGTGCGCACGATCTGCGACGTGCCCAGCTTGAACTCCGGTTGTGCCCAAATGTCCTGCAGGCAGTCCAATCAGCCCATGCGACACGACACGACACGCAACACGACACGACACGACACGACACGCAACACGACACGACCAACGACACGAGCATGGGGAGGGGAGATGACCTTGAGCAGCTGGGCAAGCTCGACGGCGGAGAGGCCGGAGGAGAGGCCGGGCTCGACGAAAACGAAGGGGTCCGGGATGTTGCGGTTGACCTGCTGGTGGAGCTCCCACAGCCACACCAGCCCCTCCTCCTTCGACTTGATCTGCTCGTCGCCACCGCTGTCCAGCGCCTCCTGCCCATCCATCATCGTCAGCGTGTGTCGTGCGTGCGCGTTCGTTGGTGCATGTGTGCGGTGTGCGGACAGTACGAGAAGGTGGATGCGGGCGGTGGGATCGGGCAGGAGGAAGGCGGTGTGCTTGACGAGGTGAACGAAGTGGGGTAGCTGCTCCTCGGAGAACATGCCCGCCGCCGTCGTGTAGAGGAAGCTCCACACGGCCTTCTGCATAGACGCCGGCCTAATCACCGCTGCACGCACGCACGCACCAACAACATTCCATCATCCCCATCACCATCACCATATCACCATCATCACCACCATCACCACCATCATGGTCATCAGTCTCAACATTCCAAGCATTGTCCATACAAGTGGCTGCCTCGGTACCGTAGATCTCTTCTTTCTCTTCGCGCTGCCGCTGGGCCTGGAGCTGGTCCTCGGTGAGCGGAACGCGAGATCCGATCTCGGAGGAGCCGCGGTTGCTGGTGCTGGACAGAGATGGCGCCGATGATGATGATGATGATGATGACGCTGAGCCCTTGGGTTGTGTGCGATCGCGCTGGAGCTTGTGGTGGATGAGCCGCGGCTCGATGGCTGCCGGCGCCGTGAGTCCGCGCTGGCCGACCGATCTCCGCATCATCTTCTGCGACGGCGACGCCGAGATCAAGGATGGCGACGATGACGACGACGCGCCAGCCGACCGCGAGGAACCCAGCGACACCACTTCGCTGGCCGCAGCACTCGTGCCGCCGCCGCCGCCTTCATTGTTGTTGTGGTCCCGGCCGCCGCCTCGGAGGAACGCCATCGAGATGGCCGGCACGCGGGCGTGGCTGCTGCTCACGGCGCCGGCCTCGGCCTTCTCCTTGCCCTTGTCCCGCTCCTTGCCCCTGGCCCGCGGCGGGCCGTGCTTGGTGGTCTCGGGGCTGCCGCCGCTGTGGCCATCGCCGGCGCTGCCGCCAAGAGCGTCGTCCGATGATGATGATGATGATGACGATGACGACGATGAGTTTTGGTTGGGACGCAGCCGCTCGAGGCCGATGGCAATGGTGTTGACCTCCGGCATGGCCGCAGCGCCAGCGTGAGGTCCTCCGATGATGTCCGCGTGTGCGTCGGCGCGCTGAGATCGTCTTCGTTCTTTGGCTTCGCTCCACGAAAGCGAAGGCGACGACGGATTGGAGCGAGGGGGAGAGGGGCTCACTTTTTCCTGCTGGACCGCCGCAAGATCTTGTTGCGGCTGCTGGTCATCTTCGGGAGGTGGCAAAAAAGAAGACCCAGCAACGGTGGCTGTAGTCACCACCAGGTCGCGCTCTTTCTCCTTCGCCTTGCGGTCCTTGCTGCGCCGGCGAAGGGGCGACCACCCTCCTGGCTCCATCTTGTTTATTTTCTTTTCTTTTTTTTCTATAGGTGTGATTTGTTTTTTTACCGAATAAAGAATGATTGAATGGAGCAGGAAAGACTGGTTCGTGTTTATGCGGACAAACTTTTCTTTGTTGGTTTCTTTGGGCGGCAGTTTTCTTCGTGTAGGATCTCGAGCAGGATGGAGCACGAGCAGATGACTGGTGATGTGGAGGAGGAGCACAGGCTGCAGGTTTCGCCGGAGGAGCTCAAAGTGATCCGCGAGACTCTCCTCGACCGTTCTCTCACCATGGCTCAGAGGTATCGCTCGGTCTTTACCCTCCGTAACATCGGCGGTGATGAGGCCATCTCCATCCTGGCTGAATGTATGCCTTGCCCTCCTCTTTGTGCTCACCACAGGAGCAATCAGATTGCTAATAATTCGTCATCGTTTGTTTTAATCTTTTGTAATTACTCATCTGATTAATCTTTTGCGCTTTTTTGCTCTCCTGCCTGCGCCTGGTACATGCAGCGTTCAACGATCCTTCGGCCCTGCTTAAGCACGAGGTGGCCTACTGCCTGGGTCAGATGCAGAACGTCACCGCTCTGCCTCACCTCGAGCGACTTCTGCGCAACGCGGAGGAGAACTCCATGGTCCGCCACGAGGTACGCGCCGCCAGCACCGCATCCTCCTCATCTCCATGCAGCGCTGTACGTTGGTGAACCATTCGTATTCGTGGCCACCTACATATTAGGCCGGAGAGGCGCTGGGCGCCATCGGTCTGGAGGAATCGCTGCCGCTCCTCGAGCAGTACAGCCGGGACTCCGTGCCCGAGGTGGCCGAGACCTGCAGCCTGGCCATCGACACCATCAAGTACAAGCTCAAGCACAAGGGCAACAAGTGCGTCTTCTCTCCTGGAATCGATTGTTGGTCTGGTGCGCCAAATTGATGGCTTGGCCTTTCAGGGCTCCGTTCGAGTCGGCGCACATGTCGATCGATCCCGCTCCTCCCTCGGCCAAGCGATCTGTTGAGGAGCTCAAGCAGCGACTCATGAACACGTCGTTCTCGATGTTCAAGCGGTACCGCGCCATGTTTGCCCTTCGCGAACTCGGCACGGCCGAGGCTGCTATGGTATGTGCCAGGCCTTCCCGCTTTAACACGAACATTCGCGTTACGCTGACCTCTTCCCATCTCGAACCCCACCGTAGGCTCTGGCGGACGCCTTCGTCGACAGCAGCGCCTTGCTGCGCCACGAGATCGGCTACGTGCTGGGACAGATGGCCCACGAGGCCGCTGCTCCCGCGCTCACCAAGGTACACTCCCCTCCACACCTCCCAGCCACACCTGCCGCCGCCGCCGCCGCCGCCGCCGCCCAACATCCGCCCACACACGGAATGTTTCTTTCTCCACTCCTTCAGGTCCTGCAGAACCTGGACGAGCACCCGATGGTGCGACACGAAGCTGCGGAAGCCCTCGGCGCGATCGCCACGCCCGAGGCCATGGATCTGCTGGGCCAGTTCCTGACCGACAAGGAGCCCGCCGTCAAGGAGAGCTGCGTCGTCGGTACGTCTTGCACAACTCCATCCTTCCACGTGCCCAACAACGAACGTTTTCTTGGTTTCGTTCTCTTGTCGCTCACACGCCCCACCACTGCAATGCAGCGTTGGACATGAGCGAGTACGTGAACTCGGACAGCTTCGAGTATGCCGACACCCTGCAGCTGGCCAAGGCCCAGCTCGCCGCCGCCCAGTGAATGCAGTGTACTGTCTGGCATGAGACGCGTCAACAAAGAGAGACGCACACCCACCCCCATCCGCGCCTATCTCTCCACCCACACGGTTTGCCCCCACGTCGGAGACACCCGCTCGTCAAAGCCGTCACCAACCGCCAGCGGTTCATAAATTGCGCCAATCGCCTCGCTGGGTTGAAGAACGGAAATTGTGGGAATGTGATGTACTCCGGAACACCCGCACAAACCCAACCCGCAACAAGGACCACAGCCATTTCTTCCAGACCCTCTCATCAACATCCTCACCCTGAACGTCGCCCTCTGCTCTTCGATGGCTGCCATGAAGACCTTCGTTGCGCTGTTCGTCGTTGCTTCGCTCTTTGCCGTCGCCTCTGGTATCCTCCTCCTTACGTCCGAGCAACGGCAAAGATGATAATTTTTATTTATTGTATTTACCGTTCTTTCTTCTAAGGGGTGCGTTTCTTGAGCCTTGACGCGAGCCTGCTGCTCGGCGCCGACCCCTTCGCCCTCGAGCGGGTCGACAACATCAACTACGCCCTCGCCCTCGCCTCCGTGCGTCACTTCCTCTCCTCTTCCCGTCGCCTGCTTTCACTCTCCTTGCCGTCATTTTAATTTTTATCATTTATCTTATTTTATGTTTGCTTGGTATTTGTGTTTATTATTACCCGTTTTTGCATTTCGGCCACTCCCTTGTAACTGTGTGCTTTTTTGCGTTGCATGTGTTGCATGTGTTGCATGTGCGTGGCGTGCAGTTGACTGGCCTGGCGCAGCACGCCGATGCTGTGTGCCTGCAGGGCTACTGGCTGCCCTACCAGGTGCAAAAGCTGCAGGCCATCCTGACGCCCTACCTGCCCCACTCCTACAGCGCCACACCGGCCGCGGGCAACTGCTCCTGCCAGCCAGCCGAGCTCACCGGGCTGTTCACCTGCCTCAGCGGGTGCAGCGCTCTGTACGGATCTCCTCCGCGTGTGTCGCGTGTGTCGCCTCGTGCGTGTCGTGCGTGTCGTGAGGTTGAGGAGCGTATACTGATATATGCACAACGTCCAGGGCGGCCAACCAGCAGCTGCTGTGTGCCTTCTCTTGCTTGCAGGAGCAGCAGGTGAATTTGACCGCCTTGTGCTCCAGCTGCATCACCGGCGGACTCAACGCCCTCGTCACCAACACCACCACCTTTCCGGACCTGCTGACCACGTATGGATCATAACACCGCACACACCGCACACACCGCGTGACTGATTAATTGACCGTGTCCACGCTGCAGATGCATGGGCAACGTCGGCAAGGACGTCTCCACGTGCAGCCCCTACGGCGGGTATTCCGGGAATGTGCTGTTCTCCCGGTCTCCGCTGACCCAGCCCACCACCCGTTCGCTGGCGCTCGCCCCTGGCCTCTTCAACTCCGATGCCATCTTCGCCACCTCCTCCTTCTCCGGAGTCGGCAATGTTCAGCTGTATGTCACTCACCCCTCTGGGGGGTTCGCTCTTTTCCGTCGTATTCGTGTCGTCTTCGTTCTCTCCTCTTCTTGTGCTGCTTTGAGTCGGGAGGAGGATTTCTGACTCGGGTGGCTGCGCAGGGTATGCACCCAGCTCCAGCCCGCCGGACCCGTCAACGCCTCCGTGGCCGCAGCTCTGAGTGGGGTCAATTATCTCCAGGTACAACTCTTTTTATTTTCTCTTCTTATTGCTCCTTCCTTGTTTCTCTCTTGGCTCATTGGGCCACATGGCCGGCTGTGTGTCGGTGTGTTGTGTGTGCAGACGCAAACACTTCAGGGGTTGATCGAGACTGCGGTGAATCAAACACGCGTCAGCCAGGTGGTGGTGATGGGCAACTTCAAGCAGGGACCCACCATCGTCAACGCCACCAGTGGCGCCACCCTGGTCGAGCCCATTAACGAGGCCTACTACGGCCTGTGGCTCCAGGCCCTCTACCAGGACCCCGCCGCCGCAGACCAGCGCTGCACCTACTGCAACTCACTCAGCATCGTCTCCCCCTACCTCGTACGGCACAGCGCACGACACACACGGCTGGTGTCGTGCCGAGCTCACTGTGTCGCATGTGTCGTACGCAGGTGAACACGATGTCGTCCCACATCTTCGTGCGAGGATTTGATAACAACGCCAACGTGCTCTCGGTCACGGGCAAGATCACGTTCGACAACACCACCACCATCCTCGACCTTACCTCCGGCTCGGTACCCCCCCCACTCGCCTTTCGCTTTCCCCTCTTCCTCGCTTCGCACTTCCGCTCACGTACTATCCCTCGTGTGCGGTGGTGTGCGTGTGCGTGTGCGTGTGCGTGTGCGTGTGCTGTTGCCGTGGCCCATCGCAGACTCCCCAGGCGAGGACGGTGCCCTACAGCCCCAACTACGGTGTGCAGGTGGACATCAGCACGGTTCCCTCGTCGGCCTCGGCCCTCCTGCCCGCCACCGCCGCCCTCCTCCGCTACGTCGCCGCTCTGGCCTTCTAACATAACAACGCACAACGCCGCACACGTCAACGTGTAGTCATTAACAAATGTACTAATTGCAAGAAGACACCAAGAGCATACTCGCAGCTAAAAGGAAACAGAAGAGAAAATGGAAAAGAAGAAAAAGAAGAACGCTCGAGCGAGAGATGGAGGGGGGCTCGTCGAGCACAGGAGGAGGCGGTGGGGGCGGGCAGCAGCAGCAGAAGGGACGGCCAGTCATGTTGCTGTTCCCAGGGGGCCGGTCGGCGCGCATCCCCTTCCCACGCGACCCCGACGACCTGGGGCAGCGAATACTCAAGTTCGCCCACGGCGCCATAGACCCCCTCCTCGTACACGCCGCACCTCTTCCAGCTCCCTTGCCCTTTTATTTGTTGGTAGTATTGTTTGTCTTTGCATTGGTGTGGTGAGGCCTCACGTATTTGGCCATTGTGTGCTCGCCACCATGTCGGTGCCAGTTGAAGGCGTATGAGAAGGACGCCGACGGGTTCTACCCCCAGGTGGACCTCCAGGACTTCTTCGACATCTTCCCTGATGGTACGCGTAGTGCCACCCCAGTGCTCTTCATGTGGAGTGCGTGGCGTGGCATGGCATGGCATGGCGTGGCATGGCCTGGCATGGCATGGCGTGGTATTTGGGGGACTAAACCATCACCCGCGCTGACCCGTGCGCTCATGATAGGCGGAGTGACGCTCTACATCACCAACGGGGAGGACTTTGACGGTAGGTACCCCATGGGGGGAGAACAACAACAGTTCAGCCCAGTTGCATGGCCGCCGCCGCCGCCGCACACGCACCACCACCACCACCACCACGTCGCTGACGCGTGGCGTGTGTTGGCGAGCAGAGGAGCTGTTTCGCAAGCCCGGCAGCGCACCACAGCCGAGTGGTGGCGATCAGCAGCAGACCAGCGGCCAACCAGCGGCCTCGTCGCTTGGGTCTCCGTCCCCGTCGGGCAGCGGAGCGATGGCCGCAGTGGCAGTCGCCGGGGAGGCGCGGCCGGGCGGCGGCGGGGGCCTGGTGGTGGACGAGCAGCAGCTGACCAAGCTCGTGGACCAGCTCGCACGCAACCTGAACCGCGGACGCGACGACTTCTGGCTCTCCTCGTTCGGCTCCACGGTACTTGGCCACTTGAGCACAGCAGCCCGGCCTATCGCCAGTGTGGCCACTAATCAGTTGCTTGACGCGTACCGACCTTGATTCGGATGCACTGTGTCGTGTGCGTCATGTGTGTGCTGTCGGCCCGCCACCAGGATTGCGTGCCGTGGGCTGTGTTCGTGAAGGGGTTCTGCGCCCACTTCCAGCCCATGTACCAGGTGCTTCCCTGTCCTCTCACCGCTCCATTACGTGGCGACGCGAGACCCTGACCTAGCCCACTCTGTTTCGGCGTCCAGCGGTTGGCCAAACCCGAGAACGTGCAGGAGGAGATCAAAATACTCCTTGGTACGTCATACACATCTTTACTTTTCAAACATGGGCTCTCTATTTATATCCCAGCACTGCGACTCAACCTTCTTTGGCTCGGCTTGGCTCTCGCCGTCCCGCAGAGGCCGAGGGCGTGGTCACCCTGCAAACGTACGAATCGCCCTGGGAAGGACGAGTGCCTCAACATTACAGTATTGTAATTGTAATTGTCCACCTCTGCAGTGGTGACTGAACGACTCCCCCCCCGACCTGCAGGTGGCAGCGGTTCACGCTTTGGTCCCACCCCATCGAGAAGGTGGTCCAGATCATGGAGGACCTGCGCGATCGCGGCCTCATCTACCACAAGTACCCCCCCCCATTCATCCGTGCGCGTGTGCGGTGGTGCGTGATTGTGACATAGGGGTGTGTTCGCTCATGTGTGTCGACGCACCGCATGGCTGCTGACAACGCGGGCCTGGTGGGGGGTAGGGGCTTCGTGGGGTTCCGGCGGCAGGAGGAGGAGGGCCGGCTCGTGGAGGACCTCATGGCGCGCGACCACTCGTCCCACGGTGTCCTCCTGCGGCTGAGCGAGACCTACGCCCACCAACACGGCGTAATCAACTTACTCCCCTCCCGCCCCCCGCACCATTCGACGAGCACTAACCACACCACCACCACCACCACCACCACACCACCACCACCACCACCACCACCACCACCACCACCACCACCACCACCACCACCACCACCACCACCACCACACTATCATCATCGCCTGTGCGCGGTGTGGTGTGCGCAGATCTGGCTGACCATCGTGCAGCGGAGGGAGAGACGAGCGCACCCGGAGAGGATGAACTACCTGCTCGAGAACTGCCCCCTCATCTACTACAAGCTCTTCTCGGGATTCACCGTACACCTCCCGCCCTTCCCCTGAATGTCTGCCATGGACGTCATGACGTCGGCAGCGGCGATTAACCGTCTGTGGTCGAATTGGGCAGATACCCACGTACACGGGCAACCAGGTCTTCGACTCAGTCGACAAGCTGGTCAACTACGTAATCGTGGAGCGGTACGCTCCTTTTTCTTTTTGACAGCGCCAAGTGTGTGTTGTGACTCACCGTGTCGTGTCGTTGGTCGTGTCGTGTCGTGTCGTTGGCTAACTAGGGCGAGCACCATGAAGGAGTACGTCACGAAGGAGCTGCGGGAGGCTCTGCGCAGTTCGACCCGCATAATGCCCCTGCGCCACTACTACTACTGCCTCAAACGTACGTTGATCGCGGCACATGCACGCACGCCACACACTCAGCAAACCAATCATGTCGACCCCCGCGACGTGTGCGCGCAGGCAAGGAGTCGGAGATGCGGGAGGGAAGCAGCGCCAACCACCACGCCGCCAAGAGCGTCAGCGAGAAGAACACACAGG